AGTGGCTGGGAATAGGAATGATAGGGGCAACAGGTTCTACAAAAACTTAGTAAGTAATAAAGTGAATTTATAGTTACTAGATGGACAGAGAGGGGTGCTCAAAGAACAATCATGTGGATCAATTAATTTGGTTGCCTACCAGAAGGGCCTTTGTTGGTAGCAAAATAAATGCTCGGTTCATTGTCTACCCAAGCTTTGAAAGCTGGCTGTTTGTCCCGAGGAACTTTATCAAAGTTTGCCACATGGGGCTTGTTACAATTGGACCCAAAGCGACAGGTTAAACCGTCGAACAAGAAGAAGGTGCAAGGACGTTCTTCAGAAGTAGAATCAGGCTTAGCTTTGAAACACACAGGGCAAGCTGGGGCACGACCAGTGCCATTATGGATCAGCATGCCAGGAGCTCGCTGCTGAGGGCCTCGAGGGGTGCTAGAGGTAGGAGTAGGGGGAACAGCTCGTGACTGCGATGGTGTATGAGGTTCATGACGGGGGCGCTTGTTGGCAGACCAGCGCGAGTCGACAGGGTCTCGTGGAGTTGTGGTAGGTCCAGGGAAAACCAAAGGAAAGTTGGAATGTCAATGGCGGTATTCCAAGAGCTCTCCACGGGTTACAGCCGCCTGGAGATGAGCAATGATGCCTGTTGAACAAGTAACAGCCAAATCATAGATATGCGGACTCAAAGTCTGCTCTGATCGAAGGGCATCAACGTATTCCAATGTATTGGCCGTACGGGCATGGACTGCAACAATACAATTGCCTTGCATAAGAAGATTGACCATAGCTTCACGGTTGGTAGAAAACTTGTTGAGCCATCGACGTCCCTCGATGGAAAAAAGGATAGAACAGAATTCCGACAAGTGATGGGCCAACAAAGACTTGCCATAGTTCGCAATAAGTTTGAGAAAGATGCAACAAAAGTTGCAAAAAGCCGGGATGACATCATCAAGAAGGGTAGATACTTTGCCGGTAGTATTCAACTTGCTGGAAGTGGAAGGAGGGTTGCCACGGTGCATGGCAGCATCCATAGTGTAGGCTTGGAAAGGAACATTATTTTCATCCATAAGAGTTTGGTATGCCATGCTGGTAGTAACCGGACTAAGGAAGGCCAAAATGGACAAGTTGTTTTGGAGTGTCTTGGGTAGATCATTGGTAGCAAACTGAAAGCCACGAAGGCACCCAATGAATGCAGCATTGGCTTGGACCGGGTCAAATGTAGCACGCATATCCACATACTGGGGGGAGGATCCAGCTTCTTCCATCGTGGACGTGATGGCAGACTGGAAGAGTCGAATAGCCGCAGCTTCACCACGTGGTTTACCAAGAAGGTTGTTACCATTAGGAGTAAACGTAGTGGGAACAAACTTAGATGGAACATCGTCAGTAGGAACAGTGCGATGGCCAAACATGATTTGGTATCGAGCCAAGTTATCGCCACAGAGATCATTGAGCTCCTGGTCTTTGAGGGACACTGTAGGCTGGGTTAAACGTTCGAGGAGCCGTTCCATGGAAGGGGATACAGTATCAGACTGTGGTGGTGCCACAGGAGGAGAAGACTGGAAACGAACAGTCGGGGAGTCATCCCGATGTTCAGGAATCAAAGAAGGCGGGGCTTCAGCATCAAGGCGAGCTCCAAGGACCTGCCAGGCATTGTTTTTGAAGTCTTCATAATGGGCCCGAGTAGAACGATGCGTATCAGTACCTGGAGAAGCCAGATTAACAAGGTTCTCGATGACCGGGATAAGGGATAAGTTTTCGAAGTCAGGGGCATCATCAATAGCATCCAGCTCGAAGAGGTCACCACCAAGAGTAACGGACCATCCATCGTTATGGTTAAGGTAGAAACGTTGTCCTATGAGCCAGGTATTAAAAGCAGGGTAGTCAACGGGTTCATCGAGTGGCTCGTTGATGTTATGATTGGTAGGAATCGTAACACCAGGGGGCAAAGGGCAAAGGACAGGAAGAGCAACAAAGACTGGCATTTCATCGTCATTGACAATGGAGCCATAGCCAATGCGCTGGTAGGAAGGCTGCTCACCATCCTCATCATCATCGTTGGCAGGGCCAGGGATTTCGTCAGGGGGCTGGGAAGTACGAGGAAGGTCCAAAGCATTACACATGGACGAAGGGACCACCGTCGTAAAGAACCCAGAAAAGTACTCATAAGGGACTGAAATAGGGATGCACTCGTTCAATGAGTCCGACAAGGAAGCACGAACCTGGACCGACTGGGGATCCAAGTCATCGGTAACAATCAAGGGATTGGTGAGGACCTGGAGCTCACGATTGACAATCGTAGCAAACTGGGTCACCATGGCAGGGTTCGTCAAAGTAGCATGACGAACCGTAGAGTTGGTCGAGCGACCGAAGGTCGAAGCAAGCTTGCGGGCCACCGACGGGTCCGTCGGGAACGCCTTCGAAACACGTTGGTCGCCATGGGCACGGCCACGGTTACGAAGCGCTTCGTTGACGATGCGAGCAGAGAAGAGAGGCATGGTAGAATGCGAAAGTTGGAAAGCTGGTAACAAAAGCGGATGAGACCGGATTGTGAGATCGTGGTGAAACGGACTGAGGCAAACGAAAACAAAAAGCCAACGAAAAGTAAAACACTGGGACTAAAAAGGTATCTTGAACACAGGCAGTACACACCCTACGTGCCGCCGCGTAAACCCGGCGCCAAAAGGAAAATGAAAGGAAGCCAAGATCACTGTAGGATATACAGAAGTTGGTAGCAATCACTTGACATGAAAGATATTGGGCGCGAGTTGGTGTCAACGATATCGTCGGAACAAAGGAATTGTCTGAATATTGACAAAGTAAAAAGTGGCGCGCCGAGGGTTCGGGATCAGTTAGGAACGTCGCCTGGCGCAGACCAGCGAAAAACGAGAACCAGTAGAGACCACGTATGACCAAAAGACTGCATGGCAGACCCGGATCTTAAATAACGAAAAAGATACGATATCTTGCTGGGTAAGGTGTCACGAATACCAGACACGCCAATAATTAAATTTATCGCAAACTAGGTGCCAAAGATACCAAAGACCAGATGACCGCAAGGGTTCTGGATTCGGGAAAGAAATGAGAGACAGGTTTGCCGAAAGGAAAAAGGGAGAGGTCCACCATAGTGGAAAAAGGGCACCTAGACGCAACAAACGCATACAAAGTAATAAATAAAACTAGAAATGTGTAGGGGGTTGTTAAAGTGACACGCACTATGATTATAGGAATAGATTAAAGTAAATTTAGGAAGGAAGAAAGGCCTAGAATACCAATTTCAAAGGGTATCATGAGGGGCCGAGAAGTGTGCCGAGGCAACAAGTAATTATTAAAATTTGGATAATAGACGGGAACACCAAAGGGGACCGTCAAATTTAGGGTAGGAAAGTAAAGCCAATAGAGGGCAAGTTATAGAGGATTGTAAAGGATTTGTTGGCAAGCATCGTTGAGAAACGACGTCCATTTTGGGAAGCCATAGAGATTGGAGAAAGGTGATGTCGTCGTAAAGGAACACCTATTAAGAAAGAAAGTTCATAGATAAACGGGAGACACAAAAGAGGCCAAGTGAGACGACGACGAAACACGAAAAATTGACACTGTGGATGCAATATTGCATCATGGTCTATTACTTGGTCCACATCTTCGTGCTCCCAAAACAATGGGCTGGCTAGATCCATTCTGGATCTCCCCTTTGCTCCAGTCTGACCTCCTCACCTTAAGATACCCAACAGTGACTGGATTCAGCTTTAGTCCAGGACTGGAGCAATGGGGACTCATCTCCATTGCTCTGGCCTGGAGTCAAGGCTGCGATAGACAGACAGTTGGAACGTTTTCTAAAATCTTAACACAGAGGACAAGTACTTGTAGAAAGAAGGCACAGAAGAAAGAAGCCACAATGGTCACAAAACGGAGAGGCGTCACCTTTTCCTTCCTGCTATTCTCATTCTTTTCTCTATAGTCCCTACTACGTAGTACCATATCCTCGCGCGAACCCAAACATCTCAAGACCCTTGGAGATGAGGCCAGCAACACCCTACTAGCTATTATTAGCTAGCAAGGTACTCCAATATAGTTCATTGGGTCCATGATGAACGGCCACGACATGGATCTGGATCATGTTGTATCCGACGGAGACTGGAGGGGCTTGACACGGGGAGAGCTTCGAGAAAGCATCCCACTACGAGGCGACCCTGTACATGTTTGCCAATGGCGGGCCACTGGCAAGATTGTTCTCAAACCAGCGTGCTTTTGGAAGCAAGGCGACAGCCATCAGTGGAAGCTCCTGCAAAGGCTCAAGCAAAAGGAGTACTGTCGGCACGTCCAGGTGCGACGGCAAGAGTGGCTGTTGCCGTTTGCGTGTACCAAGGGAGTAGCTTCAGAGGTTTTGGACTACATTATTCAGTCCGATCCAGAGTCCATCGGGGCACGATGGGTGGGAGGAGAGAATCATGAGGGTGGGCCTCCAAAGGGATCCCTTCCGCTTCATTGTGCCTGCAGTGCTCTCGCCAACGATTCCAACCACTGGGGAAGGTATCAGTTGCGGCGTTTCCTTGCATCCATTCAATTTTTGCTGGAAGCGGACACAGGTGCCGCCATGGACAACGAAAACAGTTCGTTGGAACTACCAATACACATTCTGCTGAGTGGAAGACAACAAGAAGTTGGGTTGGGAATCAGGGAAATTGTGGTGGAGGATCTCGTCGAGGCACATCCAAAAGCGCTGGAAACCAAAAATGGGCACGGGCACCTTCCATTGCACCTTGCTGTTCTATTCCAATCCACCGAAATCGTACAATTTCTCGTTTGGGAATACCCGGCAGCAGCTTGTGTACAGGATAACCAAGGGAATCTGCCCTTTACCTTGGCGGTGGAAGCAAGGCGTCCCATGTCCATCCTCTTGGTGCTGTTGCGTGCCTTTCCGCAAGTTTTGGCGGGGAGAAGTAAAAAAGGGTGTCCGGGGAGAGATTCATCTCGCCAATTCTTACTTCATGGTCAGAACGGCTTGGAGAGTGATCGACAAATTGCATTGTTTTTACGTCAAGAACGAAAGGTTGTGAGGAGCAAACTGTTGGATTGTATCGAGTCTGAGGAGAGGATGGTCCTCAAAAGGGCTGCCAAAGTGGTTTATCAGGAATTGGCTATAAGCCATATCACAGACTGGATGAGCTCTGTGAGCCGGAATCTGGCAGTGATCCTGCAAGATGATCACAAGAGTGTTGAGGACAGTGGTGTCCATGAGTGCGTGGTGCCTCTTCTGGAGTGGGTACGCCATCAGAATGACCCTGTGCAGAAGAAACTCGAGAAACTGGCTTTCCGATGGGATCGTATTGCAAGGCTGGCAGCACCCGACGGGGACTTTTGAACCTGCGCGATCAACCAACCAGGTGCCCCCCAAGTCCAGCTCGACAGCCAAAGAGGCGCAGCAGAGTTTGGTTTGCTTCTTCCCCGCAATGTGAACGATCGCGAAGATTAACATTATTGGTACTGGTATTAGTTCGCATATGAATGGAAAACGGGCACGAACTTGTGTCATCAGTCCAGCTGTCCTGATTCGCACCCAATGAGAAACACTTGTTATGTCACTGTCCGAGTTCGCACCTCCAGCCAAGCCATCTAGCTATCCAAGAAGACACCGCTTTCGGGTACAGTACCGGGCGGTTGGTTGCTACAGCGGCACCACATGCTTCAATACCTGTCTAGCTAGCTAGCTAGCTAGCTACCGCTGCAAGATGATCAAGTCAAAACAGTCCGAGTTGGTGTGGGCCGCGCTGAAAAGAAAAACAGCACCATGTGACAGCTGCACTGCACTTGGTAGCAATGATGCCGGAAACGCATCAAGAGTTGGAAAACGCAGGTGCTAAATGTAAATTATGCATCAATCCAAGCCATCATCGTTTCAATCAATCAATCAATTTGATAGGGAGAGTGGACCACTGACAGAAGATTACAGATTCACAGGCCACCAACCAGTACCGTACCGTAGAAACAGTGCTGATCGCAGTGCCAATGAATCAACCTTCCCCCACACTCCTCTTTTTCTTTTGTTGGCTGGCGCTATCCATCCGTAGCGCATTAGTATTATTGTGTTTGTCCAAAATATGTCATGTGTCCTTGTACCCACCACGCACCGTCTTTTTTGTGTGTTGTTTTTGAGTTTCACTTGCTTTCCTTGTACGGTAGCAAGAAAGAAACCGTCGTTATCAAGCCCCAAGCGTCCTGCTTGTTGTTTGTGGCTTGCTTGCTTGTGTTGTGTTGTATGTTGTGTGTGTCACGTCCTTGGGATGTCCCTCCAGGACGTTCGTCGTAATAGTTGCCATTTCCTTCATTCCTTGCGTCAGTCAGCAACTACTTCCCCGTAGTACTACTACTCGCCGTGCTAGTCGCAGTACTACTAGATTCTTCAAGAAGCAGCTTTGGACGACAGTACTCGTAGACCTGCTGTTGATCTTGTTCTTCTTGTTCGTGTCCCCATCGTTCTCGTCGTCGCCTCCATCGATCGGGTCGTGCACCAGCGGGGACTTGCACAAGTCCATACCGAGGAGCTTCTTCGAGGTATAGATTGATCTTTTCGATAATGAATTTGTTTTCCTTGTACTTTTGTGAGGCTTCATAGGCTCTGGCATACGTCCATCCAATCATGGTTTTGCATCGTTTGCAAAAAATGTCACAGACCGAGTGCAACCCCGTAAGGAGAGTCCGATCTTCGGCCTTGCCAATGGTGACATTGACCGCCTTGTCAAAGAGAAAGGCGCGGCCTGAAATTGAATCGAATGGAATCGTGATGGAGAAGAACCAAACAACAACAAGACGTAAAACGTGAGGGCATGGAATGAGAAATCTGATGAAATGGAAAAGTAGCCTGGTAACGTTTGTGGTACTGCAGCAGATGCCAGCCAGAGACCAAAACAAAGCAAACAGAACAATCTTATATCTGATGACAGAGACAGACACGACACAAGAGCCAATCCTCTCACACAAGACCATCACACAACAAAACCCAGACGAGACCATCTTTTTGTCACTCTTTGCTTACCATGCCGCCCGTGAAAACTCTTGGAGACGATATCATCATGACTGGTGAGATGGGTGCGACAATGGACACAGGAATAGATTTGTGGTCCTTCCAAGTAGACCATGGAATCGTTTTCCTTCATGGCATGACGAGCCTTGGAGACGTACAAGGACGCCGTGGCGACACTCATGACGCGGCGTTTGGGTGTGTGATGCAATTGCAATTGCAATTCATGGGGAGTCAACTTGCGATCTTCTTCTTGTTCGTGCAACGACCATGCCCGGAGTCGACGGGCATTGTGGTAGGACACAAAGGGAATGGGGGTCTTCTTTTTCTTGCTGGTACTACTACTACTACTCGTTGTCGAGGTAGTAGTAGTACAAGCAGACGACAAGGAAGAACCCGGCGACAGAGAGAGCGAGGAAGATCCTAGCATGAGGGCATCTTGTTTGAGTCCACCGCCCATGGTGCTGATGGAGTGTCTCTGCGTAATAAGAGGAGACGACAGCAGGGTTCGCGGAGGTCGATACAACGCCGAATCGTGATTGACGGGGTGCGAAGTGGAACCCGTACGAGGAGAAGCACCGCGACCTCGGGCCCGTAGATTCGAATGATACTGCGATGACGACGACATGGAGTCCACTGAAGAAGATGAATGGAAGGAAGGAAGGAACAAGATCAGGTAGGTAGTGGAAGAAGAGGAAGTAAGACAAGAGTAAGAGATTTTCACTTTCCACAGAACAATCATGTATGCCACACACATGCAACCACTCAAACAGAAAACACACACACACAAGACAACGAAACAACACCTACCAGCCGTCGATCGAGCCAACATGGTACTTGCTTAGGTTCTTGCTTTATTTGGAAGCAACGCAGTGAAGGTCAAGCAACTCAACTCAAAAAGAAAGAACAAGTTTTGATTGTTCTCAGAATGTATAATGGAACCTTGCTGTCAATTCTTTCGACTTTTTTCGCTCAACCAGAGGAATGGATGAAGGAAGGCAAGGAACTCTTCTTCTTCTTGTAGCTAGTAAGGAAACAAAGCACCTCAAAGGCAGGTTGGTAGGCAGGCAGGCAAGTAGAATGCTAGAATAGAACAAGAACAGAAAAAATGAGGTTGTTGGTAGGGTACTGGTACTCGTATTACATGCCCATCACTTTGAGTCCAATCGCGCTTCCTTCCACCCCTTTGTTGTTTCAGTGGATGGCATGCTTGCCCCTCAAGCCAAGACTCTCTTACAACGCCTTGCTTCTGCTACTGCCTCCAAAACTCAATTTTCCTACTCTCAAATGATGTTCTTCATGCAGACCCGTATCTCAATTGCCCTTGTGAAAGCTACCCATTTATGTCTCCGTGGCTCCCGCAAAGCCAAACCCTTTGCCCCCCGTAATGGTCCTCAATTTCTTGCCCCTGATCCCACAGAACCTAGTCCTGAATTTCGACTGTTCTTTGCTTAAGCCTGGCCCCGGCTGGCTTCCGTAGATAATTTCCCTACTCTAAAACCCCCCTTATCTTTGACTGCTCTGACGCTTCCTGCTGGCAGAAAAATGGATGAGAACTACGATTTTGGTTCAGAAAGAACAAACTCACTTGAGTAACGGGCAAATTGCTTGCCTCATCCATCTCAGTAGATCAAACCAGAACGTTGTTGATTGACTGCTTCACGTCATCATCATCTTACGCTTTGGCGACTCCTATTGACACTTAAGATACCGGCATGGTTTAGCGTGGTATTGGTTTAAACGTTTGCAGTAAGGTTACCAGCATGGTTTCAATGTGCAAAGTCAATTTGTTCAAACGGTGTCAGGGTTGTGGCGGATATGGTTTGACTAGATTTCCATGTTCAACACAGCTGTCAAGTCAGATTTAGCAGGGAACGTCAACAAACGTTAGAGGCTAATGTAATTCCGAACGCCCGCCAAGATAGCTCGCATGAAGATAGTAGAGGCACGTTTCAGACAAGTCCACAAAGCTGGTTGGAGCTGGATTGAAAGATCCAGCGACATGAATGAATAGCGTTCGAGTTCATCAGAGGCGAAAAAAGATCCAGCCCGGGACATAAATGACCCTTAGCGTTCGAGTTCATCTGCGTACCAACCCAGCAAAACAACAAGGGTCACCCTTCCCAACAAATTAGCAAGGGAAGCTTCGAGGATCTTTTGTAGTAGCACAAGCCTTGTTGTGAGTTGTTACTCTTCTATCCAAGGACGCTGTGGGCACTGTGACTTCATCAGGACCAACCTATCCTTGTATCATCTCCTCTCTTCAGTGTTACCTTCTTCACAATGGTAGGTAGAGTCGAATCGGTTGGGATATTTAGCCTTGGGGTATCCAACGGGATAGAGTTCCCGCGAGAAGCCTTTCTGCACTTTCTCATGGTCATCTCAAGTCCTTGTCATCGTCTTGTGTCCTCTTGACCTCTCGTATCTTATCTTGTCCTCAATCTATTTATCTATGTATACACATATGGTATCATATTATGATAGCCCTACAGAACTCTGTGCGGCTTTCCCACGACGGAAGCACCCGTCTCGTTGCTGGTACCCAACAAACTGTGGCGTGCCGATACCGTCATTTGCGATGTCGATGGCACCGAATGGTTTGTATTGATGGAGTGCGAGGAATCCATGCGATCGTACGAAGCCATCTTTGGAGACATGTACGGACACAAGCTCTGTTGTGTCCGACGCAAAATGATGCGACAAGTCTGGAACGATGGATTCTACTTTTGTACCTACCGACCCAACTTTCCCAATCAACCACCACTTTACGAGAGAGATTGTAATAACAGTGAGTTGACATTGAACAACAATAACAATACGTTGAACTGTATATAGAAGAAAGGACAGGCAGATTGAAGAGGATGGAGGCAGACTGAAGAGGATGGCGAAGATATTGGAAATTGTCATGAGATCTCACCTCTTTTCCATTTTGTTTGTGTGTGTTTTTATTATTATTATTACAGAAAAAGTCTATCCGTTCTCGTATTTGGAAGTCAATCAACAAAAGGGCAAATTCGCGTATCGCTTCTACGAATACGAAGACGGCGAAATGCGTTTGGAAGATGGGGCGCCCAAACTCGTCGCCAACAATGCCTGGTTGGGATTCATGACCATTTGGTGCACGCCCATGGTCCGGTGTGGAAAATGGACCACCCAGTTTCGACGTCCTCATGCCCGCGAAACCAAAATTGATATCAATCAGTGGAAGAATACCGTCGAAATTGAACCCGGTCAGGACGTACTCGCGGCACTCTGCATGGCATATGTCTTTGATCAGTGTCAACGTCAACCCTTTGTCACGCTCATGGGGAAACAGGATCCCGAGTACGATGCTCCCGACGATGGTAGTTTGGGAAGTGATGACGATGAAGATTGGGATGGAAATCCACGACGAGAAAAGGAATCGCTCGTCAGTGGTGGACCGGGAGATCATGACTCTCTTACCGATAATCCCGAAGAATTTGGGGATGAAGGATCCGGTTTGGAACCACCGTCCACTGGTGAAGATGGATCGGATGCGCCCAAGAAGAAAAAGAAGAAAAAGAAACGTGGTCCTTCCAAGTATCCACCGGCGGAACCGGATGAAGACGCCTTTGCGGATTGTTTGGAGTAAAAAAGAAAGAAAGAATGAATGAAAAAGAGGCGCCGTGCCACCGTTTCGAACGGAGTTTAGCGCAATCATGGAGCTACGGTACCGAAATGACACAAGCATGGTGTTGCGTCGCTCCAGCGATGGTCCTCTCGATCCTTTTTTCTTCTTATGCGGCGCGCGTGTGTTGTTGACCATGTTGTCCTTCTGCGGTAATTCTACATAGTTTTCACATTCACCCTCTTAGCTTTCTATCTAGCTAGCTAGTTAGCTACCTGTAGTTCTGTACAGTATGATTGTGATAGCGTTTGTTGATCCATGCCGATACATGCACTTTAATACAGAACAGTGATCAAAGTGTCGATCATGACATCGAATGGGGCAATGCATGTCCGGATGTGACGGAATCGGAGCTGGCCCCTTTGACTTTTTAGAATAGAGGAGCCTGATGAGCCACCTCTAGCTACGGTAGACCTTTGGTGGCAAGCAAATCATTATTGCATGTGGCATTGGTTTCCCGTTCCCAATATATACTCACATGCAGCCTCTACTGCTTGTTGGCTCACCACTCCCTCTCCAGCCAAAAAGTAGCATGTCAGCTTCCTTCTGGGAGTCATGCTTGATAGTGCACTTGTAAGTACGGATTCTGGGGAGCTCTCACTGTCTGGAACAGCATGGTTCCGTTGTTTTCAACTCAGGCTTCGTTCTCAGCTTCCTCCTGATTATTGTACCCCTATATGCATGGAACCTCTGGAAAAGTGGCTCATCTGTAGCAACGGTTCCCAACGACCTCCCACCCAATCGAGGAAGCGATCCAACGAGCTCTTTGCAAATCATAATGATCCCAGTAGCTCTGAAGTCCATTAGTACTCGAAGGTAGTGACAGCCCCGGCCGAGCAAAACCTATTGCCGTTGCGGGGTAGCCGCTGGACTGTTGACTGTGTGAACGAATGGTCGTTTCAGGGCGCCGTGTTCGTGAGGACCCAGATAAGTCTCGAGTGTCTTGAGAAGCTGAGATCGATTGATTGGTTTGTATAGGTAGTCGTTCATCCCCACTTCGAGACCCTTTTCCTTGTCCCCTTTCATAGCGCCCGCTGAAAGGGCACATATTGGAACCGTTTCAGTGAAGTTGCCTTCTCTTTCGACCTCCCGAATCTTTTCCGTAGCTTCCAATCCAGATAGCTTTGGCATCATGACGTCCATGAGGATCAGGTCGATCTCGCCGTGGTGTTTTTCGAACAAATCCACGGCTTCAGCTCCATCTCTCGCTGACAATACCTTCAAGCCAACCTTCTGCAACATCCGAGTGGCGACCTTTCGACTGACAGTGTCGTCTTCGGCGAGCAGTACCACTCCGGAGCGTTGACATCGAAGAGGGGGCCGTTCGGTGACCGGAAGAGGGGGGATTTGTATAGTCTTTTTCAGGTCCAAGTCTGTTCCGCTTCCTGGTGCTGCTGGCTTGTAGGGGAGTGTAAAGTAGAATCGTGAACCATGACACTCATTCTTCGTGCTTGACACGACCCACATGTGTCCACCCATGATCTCAACGAGTTTTTTGCATATCGTCAAACCAAGCCCTACGGTAGGAAACGAGCACTGTATGAGGGGCATGCGGCTAGCTAGAATGATGGCTTTGTTTTGTGAATGCCACCTCCGTCCGTCACTTACCAGTTCCTCCATGAGTTCTAGTATCACTAAAGTCAACCTGGCGGAACGGCTCAAAGATCATGTCAAGGCGATCTCCGGGGATGCCTTTCCCGGTGTCTCGGACACAAAACTGGACCATACCATCGGCTGAACCGAGTCGTACTGTCACCGCAACCTCCCCAGACTCTGAGAATTTGATGGAGTTAGATAGCAAGTTATTCAAGACTGCACCAGCGTGGATACATACATACATGTGAGTACTTGAGTTGTTGTGGTGGGTATTGGATATATCATATACATACGCCAGCGTAGCGCACTTACCCTGTTGAACTCGAAACTGATCACCATAGATTTGGCTAGCAATGCCATCATCGATGGACTGCAAGAGGCGAAGATGCTCCTTCTTTCTTTGAATGCAATATGCGTTTGCCAGCTTCATTGTGTTGTCCATCATGTCCCGAATCGTAATGGGTTTATGCACCATGTCGAGTTGCCCCGCCTCGATCTTTGACAAGTCCAAGATATCCTTTAGTTAGAAAGACACACAGGTAGGAGGAGCACAACATGCAATGAGGATTACACTCGGAGGCAGATGTACTAGTATAGTAGGACGCGTTTCTTGTTTTACCTGAATGATGGAGAGCAACAGCTTGCCACTGTTCATGGCGACCTGAACTCCTTCCATGTTTTCCTCTTTGCTTTCTTCATCCAGACCATTCGACAGGATGAGATCCAGATGACCCATGATGCCGTTCAGTGGAGTCCTGTATTATAGCACAGTGCAGAGTAGTTTGGCATGAGCGAGCAAACATGCCATAACCAGCAAAATGGCAAAGGAGCAATGCATTGAGTTGGATAGATTGATGGTACGTACCGAATTTCGTGCGACATGGTGGCCAAAAAGGAACTCTTTAATAGATCCGCCTCTTCGGCCTTTTCTTTGGCACGGCGTAGACTCCGTTCAATCTGTTTGGCCTCGGTAATGTCCGTAAAGATGGTGTACGCCTGATACGGCTTGCCTTCGTCGCCGAGGCGAAAACGAGGCATGGCATCCAACTGGACCCAATGCACTGCCTCATCGCCCACGACAATGCCGAGTATCATGTTGGTAACGGGTTTGCCCGAGAGCGCCACCACGGCGGGATACTCTTGGACGGGAATGGTGGATCCATCTTCGTAAATGAACCGCCACTGTGGATGCATGGGACTCTTGCCCAGCATTTGATCCATGGAGAGTCCGAGAATCCGTAGCGCGGATTGGTTGGCCGCCATGGTGTGTCCGTCGGCGGCGTGGTACACCACACCTTGCTTCATGTTTTCAAACAATGTCTGATGACGTTCTTCGCTCTCTCGTACGGCATCTGACATGGTTCTCTGGTGGCGACTCTCTTCGGGACAACAATGACTTGGTTCTGCCTCTTTGCACTCCTCGTCCTCCTCCTGATGAACCACAGTGTCTTTTACAGTTTGTTGTTCTTGTATCAGTCCGCCAAGTGCCACCATCCGACCATCTGGTTCCTTCATGGGAAAGAGAGTCACATCCCAAAGTGCTGTTGTACTCCTCTTCGTACTCGCAGCGGTAGAGTCGTCATCCTGGTGGAACGATACGCACTCTTGAGACTGCAGTGTCTCCTGCGATGCCAGTGCCTTTTGCACCAGCAATTCCAGTGCCATGACGGAATCTTCCTTCAAGAGACCCCCGGACGAGAATCCTTCTGGATGGAACCCAAGCCGTTGGAGACCTGGATTGCGAAAGAGAAATCGACCTTCGAGGTTCAGAACAAACGCATAGTCAAAGGGAAGAGACGCCGCAAACAGATTCATCATCATTGTTGGGCTAGCTATGGCGCTACTAGTAGTAGATGGAGTGACAGTTGTCTCCTCGAGATCCTTCAGGGGTGCCATACTCCTGGGAGGAGGAGGAGGAACCAACGCTGTTTCCACCATTGTGGTCTGGCAATTAAGATTTAGATATTTTAGTGACTACGAATACTACAAAACAACTGCAGAGAGTCAAGAAAGCTCTTGCTTGGAGCTCACTGACTTGGTCTCTCGATTTCTTGGAACAACAATAAGAGAGCCTTTTTCCTCTTTCGCAACAGCCTTCGCACCGCAGGACACAATGCGAACCTAGTTAGAAGCTTATAGAAGTCAGAAGCTTGATAACCGGATAACCCATTTTGATACAACCAAGGGCAATTGATATTTCAATTAGACTACTACCGTACTGGTAGCTATGAAAGTTGCTAGCTAGAGTAGTAGAAGGTAGAAGACTAAGTAGCGGTACTATTAATACAGACGACCACTGAGTACGGTATTAGACTAATAGACTACTGGTAGACTGCATTAGATCCGTAAATACCGGTATTGTGAGAGGGCAGTTCGGAAAATGCCGGATCGGAAAGGCGTTTGATGAAGCCCTACGTCAGTAATTTTGTCATTTTGAAAAACAGTCAGAAAGGTAGTTGAGGTAACTTTAGTTTACACGTTTGAATACAAATTCTGTTTTACCGCATCTACCATAACTGTAGCAAAAGAAGAACGAACGCATCCGCTCTCTCGATGATTACCGCTTGTTTCGAACTGCCCTTTGGCTTCGTCGTCCGGCATTACAGTCCCCCTGCGTTGCATGCCCTTGAATCTTGATACTAGTAATACGTAAGTCGAATGAAACAACCAATCAGCCAACAACACCTTTACAGGATTACCTGTAGTTGCGTAGTTGCGGTAAATATAGAGTAAAAAGTAATGATTTATTTTACTCTCCATCATCTCCTGGATACATGTCCGCTGATGTCCATCAATGGCGTCAGCGCGACAAACCGGACACAATGTCATTGCGGCTGTAACAGCTACTAGCTAAAGCCGCGAGAAATGCAACTATGCAACTATGGCGATGACGCGATGACAGCATCGATACCTCAAACGGCTGGGGTGTTGTGGCTGTTGTAGCAAAGTAGTTGGTTTCAAGTTTCAAAGAGTGAGTGCGAAGTGCTTTCCGGCTGGTCCCAGCCAGCCGGTTCATTAATCATTGAATCTAGTCTATCATTGATGGCTTGGGGTGAGAGGAGATCGTGAGATGGTCAGCCCCCTCTTCGCTCACCGGACCTGCCCGTGCACTTGAAAGCGAAACTTACTTGATATTTATTTATTAGACTACAAGGAAGCAAAGCATTGGTGTTGGAGTATGCAGGGTTTCTATAGCCTCCTGCGATTCGATTCGATTCGATGCCGTACAGCAATGCAGCGCATGCCTCTAGCTAGCCTAGCTAGTAGAGGCAGAAGAGTAAGACTTGCTTGGCCAAAAGCAATCAATGCAACATGGTGCACAGGCACATGTACCGTACATGTACCGGTATCTACCACATAGAATGCCGACCATCTCCTCTTTGTCATGTTTTCTAGTAGTCATCCTCGTCAGAATAGAGAGAGATACGTACAACATGTAAACTAGCTAGCTCTTCTACTGTAGCAGAAGGGTGCCGCCTCCAGTTTTGATCTTGTTTCAGCTCTCAGGGTGTGGATTTGATTCTAAAAGCCAGCTAAACGGTTTATTTGGTTCTATAGTCCCCCTTAGTCCTGAATCTTTCTAACTCAGAGTTCGATTGAGGCGAATATTCTATTCGATTCAATTCGATTCATGACCGTTGAAAAGATCGCAAAAAGATTCCTCGGTTCTTCTTCTTTGGCATCATTCATGGCACTTCCCCGCGATTCTAACAACCTTGGAACTTCTCACCAGATTCTTTCCTTCCATCGACCGTCTTCGTCTTGATCTTGCTACGAACCAACCAACCAACCGCGCTTCTATGACGATTCACATGTTTGACAGCTGTCTTGGAATTGATACTTGTACAAAGCCACAGGAGAACATGGGCCGTCTGTTCAACGCGTTGAAGGACGTCTTTGGCGGCAAGGAAGACGAAGATTCGGGCGACGAAACGACGGATGTGGATGCCCAAAACTTGAGCCATGTGGGAGCTGCCGCCTACGAGTGTTTGCGAACCGTCCATGAAGATGTTCATCACGTGACATGGGATGTGACATCCGGCAAGGTCGTCGGTGAGTTGGATCAGACGCCCAAGGGTTGTTTTGATCTGGAAGACGATCCGCCCGAAGGACACTCCGATTGGTTGCCCGAGAAGATGGCGGGTATTATGGAACGAACGGAACAATGGTGTGATGTCATGAGTCTGGGTCCGCCCGATGGAAAGTTCTTGGAATGCATGAAACAAGCACTCGTCAAGGTCAATGCGCGAGCGTCCGGCGATAAGCCCGTTGTCTTTCGATTTCTGTTTGGCAATATTCCTGGAATGCCGGTATGTACAGTACAGTGCCGTATTGTGAAAAAGAACAGGATGTTCCGATCTTACTTACCTCATCGTCTTCTCTTCTTTGTCTCTTCTTTGTTTGATTGATTTGTGATACGTTCCGTCAGGTCAACTGCGGCAAAGTCCTCAAGTCGTTGACTGCCGATTTGCCGGATGATCCTTCTATTTTGCTCTGGGTCGGTGCTTGTAAGTTTCTCCGTGTTGTGGCGTAGGTTTTCTGGCATCTCGCTACATACAACTAACTATCTTGTGCTGACCTCTTTTCTTTTTATTAATAGGGAGGAACGGTGTCTCGTGGAATCACGCCAAGATTATTGCCGTGGATGGCCGCTACTTGCACACGGGAGGACACAACCTCTGGGATCCTCACTACCTCAAGAACTGTCCGGTACACGATTTGAGTTTCGAATTGGAAGGCAAGGTGGCCCATGCCGCTCATCTGTTTGCCAATGATCATTGGAAGTACATTGAAGCCAAACAAAGGCACTTTATTGGAAAAATTGTCGATCTCATGCCGGACAGTCTTCCCATGGTACTCAAAGCCCGCGTCACCGTGTCCGAATACCCCGATGACGAAGCGGGAGAATTCCCGCCCAAGTACAAGAAACGTCTCGTGCCCAGATACACCAGACTCCCCGACAGTGTCCCCTTGATTAGTGTGGGAAGGAGAGGACAATTGCACACCAAAGACAATTCGTCCGATGATGCCTTTGTCGCCATGATTGAATCCGCCAATACCATTTTGCGATTGGGATTGCAAGATCTCGGACCCGTTTGTATTCCCAAAACCAAATTGGCATTGCCGGGATGTACGTGGCCACACACGTATTTGGAATCCTTGGCCAAGGTCATTTGGGAAAAGGGTGTCGATGTCGAAATTGTACTCAGCAATCCGGGAAGTATCCCCGGTGGACTCTCCATGAAGGATGCCAATTACGGCAATGGATGGTCTTGTGTCGATGTGGCGGCCGAAATTATCAAGAAAATCAAAAAGTTATACCCGGATGCGGACGATGACCAATTGCGTCAAAAGGTGGCCGACAATCTACGCGTGTGCTTTATCCGTACCGCCACGGGCAATCAATGGTCCGACGGCAATTCCAAGGGAATGCATGCCAAACACTTTATCGTCGACGATGTGTGTTGCTACATTGGATCGCAAAATTTGTACGTCTGTGACTTGTCCGAGTGGGGTGTCATTGTCGATGACGTCGAAACAACGCAACGAATCAAGGCCGAGTACTGGGATCCCATGTGGAAATTCTCCTACACGGGCGATGATGTCGATGTCCAAGAAGTCATGGATGGTCTCGATATTGATCGGGATGGTGAAGATCCTGCCAATTTGTCCGCGGAACAGTTGGCCGAGGCAGCTCGGGCCCAGACTCATTGCCCCAACACGGACTTTTGCAATGATCATGATAGTGATGTGGAAGATTGAGTTTTTGTTTTGTTTTGTTTTTCTGGATTGATTGGAGTGATTGCTTTTTGGGCGTGTCTGTTGGGGCGTTGGCAGGGTCGGAACTGGTGATAGCTTCCCAAACCAACGTTCTATAAACAACTAGATGTATACATGTTCTTGAAACTTCTGCTTCGACAAGGGATTCAATGCAGCTATGCAGCGTAGCTAGTTAGCTAGTTCCACGGGTATCATTTTGTCTCTTTGTTGTCTCAGTGGATGGCCCCGCCCGTTGCCCATTGACGAGGACTGTAGGAACTATAAGTACTAGGTTTTGATACGGAAGGGCCAAGGCAACAGACAAGTCGCGTCTTCTCCGGCCGTGTACCTGGTACTAGTGCTGTCATGGCCACTGCATGCATCGAGCACAGCGCATGGCTTCCTGAAAGATTGACTGGCTACAAGTGTCAGGTCAATGCCTATGCATGTTTGAAACTGCCCCGTTCTTGTCGCCCACCTCTAACATGTAGGCATTGCACTGCAAAGGCCAATGGTTGTGGTAGCTATCTCCGGGGCCAGCAAGCAAGGTTGTGATGCTACTTGGTACGCTGCCTCTTGTTGTATGGCTCGTCGCTGCTGTTTCCGTCTTTTTGCCATGGTCTCTTTTGGCCTACCGTATTTTTCGAACACACTGCAGCTGCAACCATGCGCTCCCACAAGTTGGGGTGTTCCGGAGCTACATGATCACCAGTAAACTGGGCGTATGGTAGTCAATACAGCCTCAGCCTGATTTTTGACGAATTCCAGTTGCCATCAACAGGACCCAGTCGATGACGAGAACGAACATAAATGTAGCTCCCGTAGTTGAAGATTGATCTACTAGGAAAGGTTATCTCTGCCCAGCCAACTAGTTGGAGCAAGGATCACAACTACAGCCACACAGATTTGTTCCATAGCAGGCAGAAAGGTTGGTCGTTGGAACACCATAGCAACCATGCCTGAAACACTTCTCTTCCTGTGGAAGGAGTTTCTTGTTGCACAGTCCATGAGGGATACTGCCTGCCAAGGATGTGTTCATCAATACCAAGTTGGTCAACTTGGCCAACAAAAGAAGTTCTGTGGGAAGCGTCCCCGATAGGTTGGTATTTTGCAGTTCAAGCTCGTCAAGACTGGACATCAAACCAACTTCTGTGGCAAGATAGCCCGAGAATAGGTTGTCATGTATTTGCAAAACCCACAGCTTGCTGAGTTGGTGGAGGCCACCTTGATCTAGGATCTTTCCTTCCAACTTGTTGGATTTGATGTTCAACAGCCGTAACTCTGATGTTGAAACAAACAAAGTGCAGATTTTGAGCATATCTATAGATGGCCTCCAAAGCTACAGGAGAGGTGTATAGCACTCACGTGACAACTGTAATAACTCTTCTGGTAAAGTGCCTGAGATTGAGTTCTTCTCCAAGTCCAAGTAGTTCTGCAAAAAGTAGCACAACTCTCTTAGTGCATAGAGGAACCAATACCAAACAAGCTTCGTTCATGATAACTTACTAGCTTTGTCAACAATCCAATCTCACTTGGAATTGTGCCATTGAGTTGAAAGTCAGAGAAGAGGAGTTGTGCCAGGTTGGTCAGCTTGCCAATTTCAGCTGTTCACAAAAATTTCCAAAACATGTTCAGCAACCAGAAGGCGAAGACATAGAACATATTTGATGGCACTTACATGGAATTGATGTGAACCCCCCAGTTTTCCGATTGCCTAGACTTAGCATCTCCAAATTGTGCGGGTTTCCAACTACCTCAGTGAGGAAAGATGTTATTTCCAAGCCAGGGCAATCTGAGAAACTCAAGGTCTTCAGGTTCGACAATTGAAGAATTTCAGTGGGAATTGACCCTGTGTAGGCAGAAAACATCAAGTGAGTCAAAGTCAAACTGTCAATGCGTTTGTCCACTCCCTTGCATACCAGAAAAGTTCACTGTATCAAATCCCAAATCTGTCAGGTTGCTTAGGTTGCCCAGCTCAGCAGGTAAAGTCCCAACAAGCTTGCTACCTGAGATCAATAGTTTCTCCAAGCTTTGTAGCTGACCTAGTTCTGTTGGTAGTATGCCAGACAAGTGTGTTGTGCTAAGCAACAGAGATGTCAGCCTTGTCATTAGCCCAACCTCCGTTGGTATGCTTCCTTCGAGCTGGAGGTTCGAATATAATGTAAGTATTTGCAAGCTGTCATGAAGCAGGAATATTTCTGGTGGTAGTGTTCCGTCCAAGTTGATGGCAGAAAAAAATTGCAATGAAAGGAGTTGCCCATCGTCATTACAAGCCACCTTTGCATCTTGTGCAATCAAAATCCATCGTTGCCGTTCCCAGTCGCACTCATTGGAGTCCCACTCCAGCCAGCCTTGCCTAAGATTCACCCAATGCTCCCCCCGCGTTGAATAGTAAAATGTGGTCAGTGCAAACCTTTGCTTCAGCCTCCATGCTGGGAGATGTTGTGTGTTGTTGGATTTGTTGATATTGCTGCTTAGCCAATGGTATGCCTTGGCCTGTGGAGATCTAGGATTTTCCATTGCCCTGAGGGTGTATTCAGGTAGATTTAGTCTTTCCAATAGCGATGTTGGTGCTTGTGTGATTGAATCTATTGTCCCTGGATTTTCTTGTATTGGATTCTGTGTTTGCGTGCTTGATTTTGGAGCAAGAAGAAATGCTAAAAGGATGATTGAAACAATGACAATGGCAACAATGGCTAGCAGGGAGAGGTCGAGACATAGCTTCTTCTGCCTTAATCTTCTTGCATTTGCTGTTATTGGCTCTGCAGTTGCAATCTCCCCATTTTCCGGGCCGTCAACTGGGTCAGCATGAATAAGACCATCATCGTTCCTCGTTGATTCTTCAGTGTTGTGTCTAGTGAAATTGAAGGCCAACAGATTGCTAATATCAGCAGGAATAAGACCCTCATCATGATCTGTGTCATTTTGAGATGTAGGCGCAAATTCCAACCCCAGCCCTTCCGTGTCAGGTGTCCTTCCAGTCGATGGCCTACTTCTTGGGCCATCTACAGGATAGGCCCCAGGTTCCACTTCTGATACCCCTGTTGCTCGAGACAATGACTTTGGGGTTAATGATGGTAATGGCTGGATGCTACTGATAACATCATCAACGGCCTGGAGTGAGGAGACAAGATTTGGAAATGGGATTGGATGCTGATTTACAGTCGCCACCTCCGTCTCTGCCGTTTCTATCGTCCCTTTCTTCCCACCAATATTTCGAAAGAAACGCATCACCCCAGCAGTTGCTGGTTTGTTGTTGTTGGACATCTTGACTTTCGTGTCTTTGACCTCTTCTTTGTAAACTAGATGTAGCCAGAATGAGCGGTACTGGTCCGCTGTACCTGTAGTAGCTCCTGTGGTTTTATGTGCTAGCTATAGTATGGCTCCTGTACTCCAAGTAATAGTCAATTCCTTGCTGGGTGCACGAGAGGCTTCCGTAGATAATCCACCTCCGCCTCTGAACCCCCGTAACCAAAGGGGTGTGAGATACCGCTATGACAGCAAGACTGCCGAGATACCGGTATACGGGGTGGCATCAGGCACAAGAATGCCGCCAACTAAAGGAAACAGACAAGGGGGTACAGGGGTACCGTATGGAAAACATGAATCATGACCATGTCATATTTTCTCCTTGCACCCCCTCCCCCCGTTTTGCCCTTTCCGTCCTCTTTGCTCTTCTAGTGCGACCCCCGCCACTGCCAATGCTCTGTCTACCAGGTAGCTTAAACCCCCTCGATCCTTAACATATTATCTACTTAGTCAACTTGATAGGGGGGTTTAGAGTAGGGAAATTGTCTACGGAAGCCAGCCGGGGCCAGGCTTAGGGGATGAGCAAACTTGCCCATGGCTCTGTGTTGAATTTGTTAGAGCGTTTTTGTAAAAATTGTGTGCGCTAAGCCAATCTTTCACTTTGGCTGTTTTTCTCTATTGGATTTGATTGGATTGCATTGGATTAGATTGGATTAGATTGGATTGCATTGAATTACAGTTTACTATACAAATAACAGTACTATTTGGAATCTAATTCAATCCAATTCAATGCAATCCAATCCAATGCAATCCAATTAAATGTATCTTTCGGCAAAAATACGAATTTCGTCTTTTTAACTGATTTTGGCGAGTCACACTCCATTACAATTCAGGGCTATTGCAAGATTTGCCCATCCCCTTACACAGAACTTTGGCTAGGGAAGCTATAGTACCGTATCTCGTTTTAGTGTTCAACCACTGCAATGGCACAACCGAAACGATGAAGACACAGCTCCTTTCCGTCAATGCCGAGAACCAAGGCGAGGACGTGCCCAATAATAAGACGTTCCAAGTGGAATATTCCGTGGGCGGCCAAGGGAGACCCACTGTGGTTTTGTTGACTGGATATGGTGTTTGCATGGAACAATCATTTTCCAAGATCTTCGACGACCTTGCCAACATGAGCACCGTCGTTGCATATAATCGTCTAAATTACGGCAAGAGCAGCACCAGCGAGCAACAACCACAGACAGCACGCGAGATTGTAATCTTCCTGAGGCAGTTTCTGTCTACGCTTCAATCATTACATCCTGCCGTATCACCACCCTTTGTGGTGGCGGGGCATTCCATTGGAGGAATGTATGCACAATATTGGGCACGACAATACCCAGATGAAGTGGAAGGTGTCGTCTTGTTGGATTCCTCTCATCCAGATCAGTGGAAGCGTGGAGTTCGTCAAGATGGCTGTTTAGCCAAGTGTTTGAATGCTCTGGATGCTTTATGGAATCCACAACAGCAGTCAGAGATCTCCCATTTTGATGAATCGGCTGCACAAATTCATGCCGCTCCCAAATTTGACGGTGACAAGATTCCACTCACAGTTATCTCGGCAGGAAAAGCGTCGCTCTTTGCTCGCCTTTTGGTTTCAAAAGAATCGATTCGAGCCTTTCGAGATTGTCAGCGAGATTTGGCTGCCTTGTCTCCTCACTGTCGACATATTGTGGCTGACAACAGTGGGCACTTAGTTCAAAACGACCAACCGGATTTGGTGGTACAAGCCATCCGAGATATGCTGGCTTCTATTCGAGGCCAACACAAGCAGGGAAAGAAGGACGACACTAGCTAGAGTTAGTCTGCTTGCTTCAGATGCAGGATGAGACTGAGGATCGGACTGAAATTGAGAATCCAAAACAGGCGAGGTAGTAGCCAAGATGTTCTTGTGAGCAGGAAGCCCAACACCATCTTGGCAAAGTAGAAGGTCGCTGTAGCGGTTGGAAAACAGGAGTGATGATGCTGGTCGGTGTTGACTGGGAAGGGGTTATCATTGTTTCCCCCCCTGCTGTCGACAGCAGCATCGAAGCGTGACTTGAAATAGGGCGTTTCATATTGGTGTTGGTCTTGAGGCGCCACTGCTGTACCGGTACCAGGTAGCCACAGAAGGGAACGTGCTTACAGCCCCTTTCCACACACTCTTCTCGAGCAGCGGTCAGTTGTGATGAATGGAGTCGGTTATATCACAGTCGTACTAATAGTGTAGTTTTCGTTTTTCAGGGCCGAGTTCCTTGAAGACAGGTACACTTCAATAGTATTCTTTTCCAAAACTTGAAAAGGATCTGATGAATCGAATCGAATCCGACTCCGAATACTCCGTCTTTTCCCTCCGAGTTAATACGCCTCTTCAAGGCCGCCAAGAACGACACCGCAACATTGCATTTGTGTGCTGTTCTGGTTCTTGGGACGAGAGTGCGCAAAAGTCATGCAACCAGAGTGCCCAACATTGCCTGAAATGATGTTTGACAAGCAAGTACGTCTTGCTTTCGGGGCACTGGTCCCCTAACTAGTTGACAATGCCACAGTGTCGACATCGCAGACCGCATCCATCTATCATGGTCATTGCTTCTTCCGGTTTCGCATCAGTTTCAGGTGCATTCTCGTTGCTCACATCGTCGTCAAGAAAGTGTCTTTCCAAGATACCATTTTCGTCGTCGCCATCCTCGCCCTCCTTGTTTGGAGCATGTTCCTGGTCCACAACCACGTCCTCATGGAACGATTCGATATCCTCCATTACGGGGACTACATCATTGTTCTTTGCACTGTCGTTGATGCCCGAGCTACAGGTAGGATTCCTCGTGGTTGTGGCTGTTGTTGTTGTTGTTGTTGTTGTTGTTGTGCCCAACTGCGGCGCATGGGGCATCACTACACTCCCTGACACAATGCTCGATGGCATTCTCCTGGTGGATGCATAGACACTGGACCGGTTGGCATCGTCGTCATCCGATGACAATAGCTTGGGTATGAAATATATGAATGCCGTGGCAATAACGTCCACCGACAAGAGAATACTGCGGGACAGTGCAGCCTGCGATTCCCCAATGGAATCTTCCAAAAAGAAGGTGATGACCCGCAATACCACAAAAAAGAAGTGGGAATAAATCAAAATGGCCAGGGCTTGACTCTCATTGATGCCATGTTGCAACTTTCGCGTTTGAAATGCCAACACGGTTGCCGTCACGAGCATGAGGACATGCCAAGTGACACTAATGAACCGCCACGCCTGCGAGTTGGATTCACAATGCGACGTTGTCGTGACAATGGTGGCTCCCCTGTCATTTTGTTGATTGGTCAAATGCAATTGGAGTTCCTTATGGGGCGGATCGACTCCCATCCACACACCCAAGAACAGTACGGCAATCATGCACAAGGCCGCCACGATGCGGACCAATCGGGTCCGATCCAAAACGACCCGTCGACATTTTCGGGCAGCCCGCATCATGCGTGAAATGGCGGCAATCTTGACGACCAGTGGCACCAATTCCAACGTGTACCCGATATTGAACAACCATGCCACGGTGATGCAGGTCCAATTGACCGGTGGAAGGGCTGCCACCAATGCAGCCAATGCGACCAATACCAATCCAACCAATAGAATACTGACAAATTCGAGTTGCGCATTTTGCATGACACGTCGATGACGTTGTTGATAGACCGCCACAGCCACTCCCACAATGAGCAGTGTGGAACAAATGCCAAACGACAGTGCCACAATATGAAATGGATGCGCTTGCAGTGTATGGGCAAACTTGGCATTGTTGTTCTCGTCATCGGATGTGAATACCCGCGGATACGTTCGTGGGACAAATCCTTGCAAGTCGTCCCAGTTTTCCACCACCCACCGACAAGTCGCATGGCGCAAATCATAACTGGGAATGTCATCATACTCGGATGCTTCCAACCAGTAATCAAATATTTTGCCCAGTTGAAAATCGGACAGTGTGAATCCCTTGATGAAATCGTACGCCGGCGATTGGGCTGCAAGGGGTCCATCTTTACTCATATCGTATAACGATCGCGTCAATACTTTTTGCAATGGAAACGACGGTTCGTCACATGCCCCGACGGGATCGCCCAATTGCACACTGATCGACTCATTACAGCGTTCGACGGGTGTAATGCGCTGTTCGATGCAATCTTGATTGGCGGGCGGCAAACTGACCCGGAGCAATTCAAAATCGGTTCCGACCATACTTTGATAGAGGGCTTCGGGAGTCCACCAATGCAAGAGTAAATGGGATTGTGTATCATTGGCGGCGGCCCAAATCTGCGTGAGTTCGCCGTACGTGTATTTGATGGGTTCAATAGCAATGTCATTGTAGACCGCTTGTGGTTGGGAGTACGACGACCACCCACACGGATAATCGGCCATGAATCCGTGACACGTGGTGGGATGGAGGGTGCAATTGTTGGCGTCGGTGAATCGAAAGTAGCCTCGATAGTCATTGGCGTGATGATAGAGGTTGCCCTCTTGGTCGTCCAAAGGAGGCCGTGTAACGCGATCGTCGGGTGTATCACACTCGTCTTCCGAGACAAGTTGACAATAGTCGTGCCATGTGGTCGGCAACAGAAATGTTTCGGCCATTTTGTGTCGATTTTCTGGTCCTCGCATTCCCAAATACGTCAACAACGTGGGATCTTTGAGTGCGGTAATCCGAGGAATGAACCAACTCTGTTGTCCCAATGCACCATTGCCCAACGACGGTTCCACCATGTTGGCCGCCACCAATTCGTCAATCAAGTCGGATTGGCCTTCCCATACTTCTACATTGACGTGGGCGCACGTCTCTTCTTCTTCATTGGCGCCGCTAGCAGGATGACTGCAATCGCCGTGCCGTTCCGTAGCCCGTTGCAACGCAGACCAATCGTTGGATGTGCCATAGTCCATGCGCAATGGATGGTCGTAAAACTGGACCTCCAAGCCAGACATGCCCGTTTCCATACTGGTCGGGACATCCAACAATTCACTCAAGATGATTTGTTGAATCCACGATGTGATGAATGCCGATTCCCAATTCTGTGACAAGAATCGGACTTCTTTGTAATATCGTGACAATCGACAATGACCGGCATCCACGGCAGTTGGTAGAGTGTCTTGGGAATTGCAGACCCTCAGGCGATTCCAGCCCGGCAACATGTTGTACAAACAGCCACCGACTGTGAATGGATTGCTGCAGTACATAATATAGGAGGAGGAGTTGGCATCATCATCATCATTGTCACTATCGCTCTGGACAACACACTCGCTATTGGGAGATTGGAAATAGTCTTGACAAAACTGGGTGCTGTTGCAGGGGACCACCGGACCATCACCAAGGACAGTCAATGGATGAAGAAGCAGCAGTACCTGTAGTAAAAACAACCATGCCCAAGAATAAGTGGGCCTTGTGGATCTTCTGTGGGCGTACTCGTAGAGATCAACAGTGCCTGATGCCATGTTCTTGGTTTTCTGCTTGCTGCTTGGCTCCATGTTTCTTGTGGCTGTGCCGTACTCGGTCCAGCAGAAGTATGCAATAAGGAGATGATGCAAAGGACCTTATAATTATTAGCTTGCTTGGGTGCTTGAGCTTCGCTGCTTGGCTTGTTTCCGAAAAGCAACAATCGTAAACCTCTACAGTCCCACTTCTCTCATGATTACCAGATTTACAATGGTTAGAGAAGTACAAGTAACACTTAAATGATTTTTGTTTGGAGTGAAAAAGAGAATTATACAGGTGCAAGACTATTAATTAAGACTCACTTTCACCTTATTTCTCAGTGTTTGTGAATGGCTTACAGAAAAAATGGAACACTTTAACCTTATTTATAAGATTACTTTGTTGACACTCAAAAGTCACTAGCTAGTGATACAGTATCTATCTTATAAACAAGGCCAACGAAATCGCTGGAACTTGTGCAAAAGAAGTCATTTCATGCCTTGCTTCAAGTGGGAATGTTCAGTTCCCTTGTTTGCCCTAAATCCCACAAAAAGGGAATTCGCTCAACGTAACGGGGCCTTGCTATGCTACACGTACCGGTAGTACCGGCATCAGATCCTCTGGAGCCATGGAATTCTAGCTAGCCAGCTAGCTAGCTAGCACACCAGCACAGCAAGGAAGGGCCAGCCAGCTACTAGCTAGCCCCGAAACTGGATTTGGCCCAGCGCTCAATTTCCTGCACAAACCAGCAGCCGATTTGATGCGCTTCTTTCGAAACATATGATGGTGGGAAGAAAGGGACAATAGAAACGGAAGAGATGGAGGTGGTGACAAATCAGCAGCCATCCAGTCCCATTTCCCAACAGTCTTGATTCAAATAAATGTCTCCTCACTCCAGGCGTATTGACTTCCATACCACGCCCAGATTGCTGGCGATACCATAGCTCTGGAACACACCAGCTTGTGGGAGCGCACGGTTGCAGCTGCAATGTGTTCGAAAAATACCGAACGTGAAAAAAGAGACCATGGCAAAAGACGGAAACAGCAGCCACGAGCCAGACATGTACATGTGCAACGAGAGGCTGCGTACTACCAAGTAGCATCACAACCTCTGTAGTACAGTGGCTGCATCCAACCAAACAATCAAGAGAGATCCAGGAAGTACCGGTAGCATACATCACAAAAGGAAGATGGAAGACTATAAATTTTTTTATCTACATAGGGTTCATGAAGGCAAGCATTCGATCCACTGGACAATTCTCGTCTTCCTCACTGGTAGTGCAGAATGGCCGGAAGTCATCAAAGCACCAACCCTTGGCACTTAGCCGAGTAATGAAAATGACAAAGCAACCAATGGTGGCAAATGCAATGATGGAAGCCAAAATGAAGATCAGCATGGAAGCTTTGCCAGTCCGTTTCACGTAGCCATCGATCTGGCTCTTGCCCAGCCAGGCACCGGCAAACGTGACGCAAAAGTAAAAGACGGCATAGCTCCAAGGAACCATACCAGATGTTACAAACATGATGGCAATGCTGCTGCTCGTCACCACAATCATGGTTGAGTTCGTGGCAGTCGAGACTCGTGGATCGATTCCCATAACTAGCATCATTGGACCCAGCACCATGCCTCCACCAATGCCAATCAAGGCCGCCACAACTCCCGAAAGGAAGCAAAAGGCACCGTAGTAGCGAATCGATGGGGCATCCCAGACTGGATCTTCTTCTCCAAGGTATGGATAAGCCACGGCGGCTCTTGCCTCTTGATCTTTCATGAGCCTGCGTCCAAAGTAGGCTGCGAAGCAAAACAGCCACAGGAACTGGATCGAGATCATAACGTAGTACCAGGGAGAGTCACATTGGATGCCAAGAAGAGACTCCACACCCTTCCCCCCTTGCAGCAAAGTGAGCACAAATAGTCCGATCCAGAGGAGAACAAGTGCACCAATCTTCTCGAGTGGATACTGACGCATGTCCTCTTCCAAAAACTGAATGCGGAGCTCGAGGCTATCGTCTTGATCGGTTGTGTCTCTACCAATCTCCTCAACTATCTCACCGTTCATTTGAACAGAAGACGGGGGAGCTTCTTCGTCGACAGTGGAAATGCTTTCTTCTTCGGCACAACTCTGCTGCTCCTTCGGAGCGTCATTGCTGGCCTCTTCGAGTGCCACATCTTCACCCTCCTCGACGACAGGACCCGAAGAATCGGTCTCTTGCGTCGAGAGGACTTCTTTCTTGGCTTGACACTTGGAAGCCTCGAGCTTTTCCTTTTCGACCTTGCGGGCAGAAAAGTACTTCTTGTACGTTCGGTAGGATGTATACGACAAGACACATGCTGCTGTCAGCAAGTAGAGCCAGTTCGGGAGCACTCGCTGGACCAACACACCCAGCACGGCACCGGCCATTTGCATGGGACTCATGAAGAGCGCCATGTCGTAGTTGATGACTGGGCGAGTATAGTGTTTGCCACCCTTTTCCAGGTACTGTTGCGCCTCGGCTTTGGAAAGCTCCTTTTGCTTGGCCAGTGGGCGAGTCCCTTCGAGCACACCTGCCTCGTGACGGATCGTCTCGACAGGATGCTTGTTTCGAGAGTTGAGAATGAGACCTGGGATATACAGGAAAGCCAGAGATGTGAGAAGGGCGGCGTTACGGTGGGCGTGGTATGCACTTTTCAGCTCTTACCTGCGAGAGAAGCCCCAAAGATACTGGCCTGACTGAGCCCGGAAGACTGTTTCGGAGCCAACTGTAGCAGCAGGATCCCAAGAGGAACGTAGATACCCCCACCACCAACTAGAACGAGTGCAGACGAAAACGATGTTATGAGTGCCAACAGGGAAACCACAGACTTGGGGAAAAACGTTTTCTCGAACTTACCTCCACAGGCGATTGCTGTGCGGGCGGGCGCAAGTCGAAGAAACCGACAAAGGCACACAGGAAGACCGGAGTGAGCAGGTGCATTGTATGGCGAAATCAACTTCCCCGTATCGGTACATCGAACATGTATCGTACTTACCAATTCCGGCGGTGAAGAACCAAACGACAGCTCCAACAAGATCATTCCAGAGATAATGATAGTGATCATCGTGATTCTCCGGGTCCGTGTTGTGGGGCTGGAAGAGTCGTCGATCAATGCAAATGTTGTGGTCTTGGTCGGAACTCATGTAACCATCGCAGGAGAGGCAGTCCTCCACGTAAGATCCTCCACAGTTGGATGGACAATAAAACGTATTTCCTGAGGCAGTGCAGTTCCCAAAGCTGGCGGCAGAGGTGACTCCCAGGCTGGTGAGGAGGAGCACGACCAGGACCAGGCGGAGTGGTTTGTTAAGATACAGATTCATTCTCGCGATTGAGTTAGTCTATTGTGGAGCGACGAAGTACGTGTACTCTGCTTGGTTCGAAGTGGTCTACTGTGCTTTTTCCTAGAACTCGTTTTATGACATCCTTATCAACACCTGCAAGAACCTCTGCCGTTGGTTTGCCCGATGAAGGTACTGGCAATCAAAAAATGGCTATTCGCCGAGCTTCCGTGGGTTTTTTTAGTCCTCTTTATAAGTCCGTCCTTCCGACCCTTCTCTTGCCCTTTTGAAGCCTTACTGAATCTTGAGGGAAAATAATGACGTGTCCGCAGAAGGTGAGTAAACCCTAAATCCCTCCAACACATGCGCGTATACAACAGAGCTCATGCCGATCTCTCATGTCTCACGTGGGAGTTGCTTACCGGTAGGGTGGGGGTTGGGTAAAAGATACACTGTTGTTGATGTCAAGTCGATCCACGCCACGCACTTCCTTGGTTCCTCTTGTTTGTGGCTCTTGCTTGGGCGGGCGGAGCCACCGTCTTGGCTGTTTGTGTTGGGCACTTCTAGCGGCTAGCTAGTGTGTTGATGTGTTGATCGATCGGATCCAGGAGACACCTATCGTACTTCAGAGACAACACTGTCTAGCTATAGTTCAGAAGGGTAGGGTATCCACAGCAACAATTATAGTCAATTTTCAAAAGATGAACAGAAGAAATCTCCAAAAGCCAAGAGCAAGAGTTGCTTCCATGCGGACGACGATTCTGTGCTGGATTCTTTGTGTCTCTGTCGTCTCAGCAGATCAACATCGATATCGTTCCCCTCATCCTTTGTTAGTACAAGTAAGAGGAGGAGACAGCAACAACAATAATGAACCATACGAGTTGAATCCCAATTGGCAGAATTATCCTTCCGTCACCACCACTGCTCGATATTCGCCACAAGAAGACAGCGGAGGATACTACTACCCTAGCAGTGGCAGCAGTAGCCAACAACCGACGCCCACGCTGCTGCAAGATATTGATGACACATACCATCCATCCACTGCTTCTTCTGCTTCTTCTTTTAGTTCCTCCCAAGCACTCCTCCAACTCCCCCAACTCAACAACTTGTTCAAGTATGACGGCAGCAGTTTTCAAGCCATTGTGGAGAAACTGAAACGACAATTGCGCACTCTTCAAAAAGCGCATCCCGACTTGTTTGCCGTTTCCACGGCTTCCATCGTCGTGTTTGTAATGTGGCAACTCCCACCGTTTCACGACCTCCTACAGACACATTTTGTCTGTCGGAAACGACTCCTACAGGCAGGACGGCTTCACGTCTTGTGGTTGTCGGGCATTTCCCACGTGTCGCTCCTCGGATTGATGTTCAATGTCTACTCGCTCTGGTCTCTGGGGCCAGCCGTCAAGGAAATACTACAACCATCCAAACGATTTTTGTTATGGCCATTTCTGCTGGGAGCCGCGGGGACGGCGTCGCTCATTCACGCCGTTGCGAGCAGTCGCGATGGAAGTCTGGGGCTGGCACCCGTCAATGCGGCCTTGTTGGCCGTCCTCGCACGACGGTATCCCCACCGGGAGATTCGGATGCGGTTGTTTGGTATTGTGCCCATTCAATTGTCGGGGCATTTGCTGCTCCGAATTTTGCTCATTTGGAGTGCCTTGGGATCTCTCGTGTCGTCGTCCGGCAATACGGCGCATGTGGCACATATGGCGGGATTGTTGTTTGGCATGGCCTATTTCGAACTCTGGCAACGACGACGACAACAACAACAACAACAGCGACGTCCCTTTTTCTAGTCTCTTCAGGACAGTGCCGATCTTTATAGATTTGTACATAAGCCATGACAATAAGCGAATGAGTCGAGTCTACACAAAGAGGGCAAAAATCTGCGACGGAATCGGTGCATGCTTACTTACGCCCATGCTAGCAAATCCCACCTTTCTCCTTTTAAAATTCTTTGCCTGTGTGTCTCTTGATGGATTCGATTCAACGAACCTCTTGAAGATGGATGCGAACGCGGGGCAAAAGCAAGGATGCAGTTTTCTGGTCTTCCACGCACTGTCGTCACCATTTCTTGTTTGCCACTGTCGATCCTTACTGCTGTCTTGGTCATAATGTATAGTGTGCCTTGGTTGGCATGGGATGGCACTGGATTTCTCCAGCCCCTTCAGAGCAATGCACTACCAATGTTTCATGGTTGGTGAATATTTAGTTAGTTAGTTAGTTAACTGGCAATCAAATCATAGTAATTATGTCATGCCTTTTGGGCAATTCTCACAAGTACAGCCGCATAGATTAGTGTCGTAGCAGACTGAAAGGTTGGTCGTTGGAACGGCATAGGTATTCCCACCAAACATTTTTGTTTCATGTGGCGACAGTATGACATTGCATAATCCATCAGGGATACTGCCTGTCAAGGATGTGTTCATGACTACCAGGCTTGTCAAGTTGTCCAACAAAAGCAACTCTGTGGGAAGGGTCCCAGATAGGTTGGTATCTTGCAGTTCAAGATTCTCAAGACTAGACAACAAACTTATTTCTGTTGCAATAGAGCCTGAGAAAAGGTTGTCATCGATACGCAACTGCTGCAGCTGGGTGAGTTGGGTAAGCACATCTTGTTCTAGCAGTCTGCCTTTTAGTTGGTTGGCACTAATGAGCAGCAGTTGAAGCTCTTGAAGTAGAGCAGACAGATGAGAAAGTATGAGCATGAGATGAAACTTGCAAATCTGTTGGTATGATATGGCAACTCACGGGACATCTTTGATATCTCTTCTGGTAGAGCGCCAGTGATGTAGTTCCTTTCCAAGTTCATGTAGATCTGCAAAAAAGTGGTACAACTCAATCCCTTAGTGCGTAGAGGAACCATCACCACACAAGGTTCATTCATGATAACTTACTAGCTTTGTCAACAATCCCATCTCACTTGGAATTGTGCCATTAAGTTGGAAGTCGTTCAAAATCAGGTTTGTCAGGTTGGTCAGCTTCCCAATTTCAGCTGTTCAAAGCAGATTTTAAAAAATGTTCAGCAACCAAAAGGCGAACGCAAAGAAACCAAACTACTGGCCCTTACATGGAATTGATGTGAACCCTCCAGTTTTTCGATAGCCTAGATTTAGACTGTTCAAACTGTGCAGGTTTCCAACTACCTCAGGGAGGAAAGATTCTGTATCCAACCCAGGGCACTCTAAGAAACTGAAGGTCTTCAGGTTCGACAATCCAAGAATCTCAGTGGGGATTGACCCTGTGTAGGCAGAAAATATCAAGTGAGTTTAAAAAAGTCAAGCTGTGGAATTTCTGCAATGATTTGTCCGTTCCCTTGCATACCAGAAAAGTTCGCTCTACCAAATCCCAGAGCTGTCAGTTTCCTTAGGTTGCCCAGCTGAGTAGGTAAAGTCCCATCAAGCTCCCTACCTGAGATTGAAAGACCCTCCAAGCTTTCTAGCTGACCCAGTTCTGTTGGGAGTGTGCCAGACAAGCTCGTTGTGCTAAACAACAAGAGCGTCAGCCTTGTCATCAGTCCAACCTCCATTGGTATATTTCCTTTGAGCTGAGGGTTCTGAAATATTGAAAGTGTTTCCAAGCTATCACGAAGCAGAGCTATTTCTGGTGGTATTGTTCCATCCAAGTTGTTGGCATAGTTGTTGGCATACCCAAATCTCAATGATAGGAGTTTCCCATTGTCAGCACAAGCTGCCTCTCCTTTCAACAATTGTAGCTGCTCCCAGCTGCACTCATTGGTGTCCCAATCCAGCCAGCCTTGATTTTTTACCCAGTAGTCCCCCCGTGTTGAATAATAAAATGTGGCCAGTGCAAACCTTTGCTTCAGTCTCCATACTGGGAGATGTTGCGTATTGTTGGATTTGTTGATATTGCTGCTTATCCAACGATATGCCTTGGCCTGAGGAGATCTAGGATTTTCCATTGCCCTCAGGGTGTATTCAGGTAGATGTAGTCTTTCTGATAGAAATTGTGGTGCTTGTGTGATTGATGCTATTGTCCCTGGATTTTCTTGTATTGGAATCACTCCGTTTTGCTGCTTTGCGGGTTGAGTTTGGTTGCTTGATTTTGGAGCAAGAAGAAATGCCACAAGAATAATTAAAACAAGCACTTGGGCAACCATTGCTTCCAGGGAGAGGAACAAGAATAGTTTCTTCTGCCACAATCTTTTTGCCCTGGTTGTTATTGGCTCAGCTGTTGGAATCGTTCTATTTTCTAAGTCATCAATTGGGTCAGCGTGAATAAGACCATCTTCACGATCTCTGTCATCTTGAGCTGTAGGCACCAATTCCAATCCCAGCTCCTCCATCTCAGGGATCCTTGTCGGTCTAATACCAACTACAGAATAGGCCCCAGGTCCATCCTCTCTGGTGCCTCCTGTCTGGTGCATTGCAGGTGAAGTTAATGTTATTGGTGATGGCTGAGTACCTCGGATAATATCCCTGAGGGTCAGGGGTGATGATACATCGAGAGCATGGCTATCTGGCAATGTGATTGGATGCTGATTTCCAATAATCACATCAATCTCTTTCTTCTGTTGCTCCCCTTTCTTCTCACCATTGTTGGTTTGTAGTTGACCATTGTCATGATGGCTCTGTGTATTCTTTTTCTTCATGTCTTCTTTTTGATTTAGCCATTTGCTTCGTTGGCTCGTTCTTCGTGTTTTCGCAGGTTCTGCTGCTACATGTATACTGAACAACGTGATCCAACAGTCTTGTCAGCTACTAGCACTCTCTACCGTACCCTATCCCAACCTTTCAATCTCCACTATAGCGGCCCGATGGTGGCAGTGGGTTGTGCTCTCGACAAGGATTGACGAATACTACCGTAGCTAGTACTGGTACTCGTAGACGGTGTTGAAGTGTTGTCGTGAAATTCGTTCAATCCCTAACCTTCCTATGGGCTTCACCTGCTCACATTTTGAAGCTTGACTTTTGTTCGTGTTTGCCGCCAAGCAAGGTAGCTAGCTAGCTGGAGAAAGACTTTGATGGGTTATGTATTACAGCTGCATTGGTACAGTAGATCTTAGTGGCGGTGACTGGGTTCTTGCTTGTCCGAACAGTGGTACTAGTAACAGCGGTGCTTATGTGTCAAGAACGACCGCCAAACACGTTACCCAAACCTTGCGGTTGTCAGGAATGGCCATCTTCAAATTGTGGAGTGCGAAGGATTTGACCCTTCCAAGAACATGGTGGATTACGGCTATAATAGAATCTCAAGAGGTTTTTAGACTAGTAGGGATGTGAGGATCAAGTTGAGGTCATCCTTAATTCAATCAGATTGGCTCCACAACCAAGGGTGTTTGCCAACACCGACCTTGGAAACACTATGAACTTGCACGGGACCGTGTAGTGGTTGGAGTGGATGCACGAGATCAACCTGGGTTACTACTTGACGTACAATCCCAAAGGGACTACCGTACTTTCTTACACGACTACGGGTACCATACAGTACCTCCTACGATTGTCGCCCTGGCTGGCAGTGACTGACTCTCATTTCTGTAACAAGCGTTGTGTCCCGTACGGTAACAGTTCCATTGCTTGCTTGCTGGCAAGCCACCAACCCACATTGGATGTTTCAGAAGAAAACTGAATCAAGTAAATACACTATCGTACCTACTTGACTTTCTCAAGAACAACGTCCTGTCTAATCTGTCGTCGCCTTCCAACCGCCGATCAGAGAGAGGCTACACTAATTGCTAGCTAAAGGAGCTCAGTAGCTAAAGGAGCTCAGTACTCAATGTCTTGATGGATACAATCTAGTTTGCTGGTTGGCTGTCACGGTCGACTCAAGAGGGCATAGACACCGGGGATCCCCGTGATTTCTCCCATGGCGATTTCTTCCATTTTCCGTATTTTGTTGGTGTGAGGATCAAAATGAAAATGATTTTCACATTCGTCCAAGACAATGAACTTCCCCGTCGCCGGTATGGGCGGGAGTGGCCCCAAGGCAAAGGGGGCGCCCGTGTGGGTCCCAGACGCGACGAGTTCTTTGAGTACGAGACAGCCCGGAAGCTCTTTGTGTTCTTGAATGTCCCGGTACATGAACTTAAAGTCGGGTAGAGCATCAAAGACCGCTCTGGCGGCCGGTAGAATCTCCTTGTGGGTCAAGACCCGGGTGACTTTGCCCCGCGACCCCACACAGACCATTTGGTAATCGTCCGTGACGAGATTGCGCCACTGGTCCAAGTCTCGTTGTCGCAAGGTTTCCCAGTAGCCCTCCACCATGCGCTTGCGTTGTTGGAGTATTATGTTATCGGTTGTGGCGTCAATGGGGACCGTCGAGGCCTTGGCGTTAGGCGCCTCTCGTGCCTTGACTTGTTCGTAGTGTGCCTTCTGGGATGGCGTCGGGAATTTGACCGAACCTCCTCCTTCCGAGAACATGGACTCGTTGTCGTCCAGATAGGTTGGGACCGTACTGGTATCGTCCATGATGGTGCTGGCCGAGCAAGGCTTTTTGGGGGGAGCATCCTTCAGGCACTTTTTGTTAGTGTTGTAGTTACAACAATCGTCCTCTTTCACCGAAAACAGCGTGCAGCTGCTACGGAGACCATTGGAACACCCACTAAGGCGACGGAACGGTCTTTGGGGGATGTTATCCTGCTCTTGGGCTTTGTTGTGGTGGTAGTCTTGCCTCTTCATGGTCGACGCTTCCAACGCTTGATTTGATTTGATGACAATAATACACCTGATTGAAATACTCCAGATATAATGACTTGTGTGCATGGCTGGCTAGCTGGCTAGTAAATCAAAGCGCGGAACTTGTGATTAGCCCCGGAAAGCTTCCGGCAACTGGGGGTGTTCTCTGGTTCTCCGGTGTCTTTTTCAGGGGGAGCCATGAGAAGGCCTCTTAAGACTTTTTGGTCACGTCGAGTGACTCAGTCGCTACCGGTATGTGGCAGAAGGCGGGTTGCCGTACGGTATGCTCCCAAGAATAAGTCAGCGGGAGCTGCGATACCTCGGCAGAAAGACAGATAGAAGAAGGAGGATTATGTTTGATATTGCACCCATCTTTCAAGCCAGCCCTGGCGACAACACCCGACTACGTCGTGTGTTGCCGCCCGGTATCATTCATTCCCTCATTGCAACCTTCTTTATTAAGCTAGCCCTGGCGACAACACCCGACTACGTCGTGTGTTGCCGCCCGCTACTCTATAATTTACCAGCTGCCATTCCCTTATTGTAACTCTAACCTTTACAACTCCTGCTGGCTTTTTATGCTGTTGTGCTGATTGCACTAACCTTAAATATTAATGATTTATTCCTACCCCTAACTTGTATTGAACCATCAATGTTCAGTTTTGTTGGCTTATGACTAACTCTATCCTTATACTTTGGCTTCACCGGAATAGGAAATAGGAAATAGGAAATAGGAAATAGGAAATAGGAAATAGAAAATAGGAAATAGGAAATACTAGTAGGAAATAGCATTAAAGGGGTTGAGAACTCAGGCAGTTTACCTGCCGAGGTAAAGCGATAATTCTATGATATCTCCATCGTCGGCTTGTTCTGCTGTGGTATTCCTGCGTTCCCACTTCTTTTGAGGTGCTCAATTTCAAGGAAAGGGAAGCAAATTACGAGAAGACGAGAGCGTTTGTTTTAGTTTCCCATCACTCCTTACTTTACGTTCAAAGGGAAAGGTTGATTTTCTGCAACCCCGGCAGTGCCGACACTTGATCTTCAAACACGTGTTTGAAAGCCCATTCCTCTCAAAGTTCAGGGTGAGCTTCGTGAGACAAGGAAGCTTAGCCAATGCCTTCCCAAGCCGAATCAAGCTGTTTGCAGTCACATTGCACCCCGCAAGCTCCAGCTCCAGTTTTTCAAGAGCAGATGCGGCACAAAGACCTCTGCAGAAGTTGGAAAGATCAGAGTTGTTCCTCAGAGTAGCTTTGACCCCATCGAGTACGGAGACATCAAGCCGAGTTGGGCCCAGCATCTTCCCAGCGATTTTCGTAATCAACTCTTTCGACAGCGATGCGTGGAACCTCAACCTTTTCAAGTGGCAAAGCCCCACGAGGGCCAGCCCAAGTTGTTCAACAACCGGAAGATCCCAGCAGTCGTAAAAGTTCAATGATCGCCAACTGCTCCACGTTGTGTAAGGAAAGATGAAACTCGTGCAGGTTACAGTTGTTGCCACAGCTTTCGAAGCCACTCAAAGATACGACCGGAGCTGCTTCAGTAGCGTGCAACCTAGCGGCAATGGTGCCGTCACGAGTTACTTCCAGCCCGGACATGCTCACCTCAAGCGCTTCCAAGCATGAGTCTCGTTTGAAAAGCAAAGGGCGGAGACATGTCAAGGAGCAGAGCCCCGAGATAGAGAGATGCCTGAGCCTGGGATATTGTTGCAACGCGTCAGCCAGCACTCCAGTGAATTCTTTCGGGTGCAACCCTACCTCCATCCCCAACCTCAAGTAACTCAGATTCACGAGCTTGTCGGCTGTGGCACTGAAACTCTCATCCAAGATGAGCCCTCCGTGACCGAATGACAAGTCCAGCGTTTCCAGAGCTGTGCACTCCGCAAGTTCTTGCAGTAGTGTTTTATCCGAGCAAGGGCCTTGTCTTAGCACCTTGGAGCGCTGCAAAATAAACCTAAAGGACTTGAGGCGAGCAAGCTTGCTCAAACCATGTGCAAACTCACCAGATAGGTCAATGTTGTCAAAGAAGAGGTCCAGCTCTTCCAAACCTGTCAGTTCGCGTAGCTCTAGGAAAAATGTCTCGGTGGAAAAGTTGACGGCTTCTTTTACCGGAAATCGCAACTGAAACTTGAGCGACTTCAAAGCTTGAAATCGTCCAAGGCCTCTCGCAAACTCGTCCGACGAGGCGACTAAGCGTGGATGGGAATATGTCAAATCAAGGGATTCCAACGTGGCAGGGAGAGCCAAGTTCAAAAAGTTGTACACCTCTCCCCTAAATTGCGGGACATTCAGGTCCACCCGAAAAGCAAGACCTGGATAACTCGACAATGCCTGTGTGTGCTTTTGCATGTCGTCGCCTCGAAGAAGAGCGGCATAGCGAAAGTGCTGCGCAACAGCCCATTCATCCTTCGGAAAGATTCGTGTGCTCTTGGTGGCTCTCCACCGTCTCCGTTTCCACAGATATAGTTTAATATCTGTCGTCTGTCCCCTTCCGCCGAAGCCTGGGCATTTTCGATTGTGATGTCGAAAGCACCAGAGAAGTTGGGCGACTCCTCTTCTCGAGCTGCCAGAGAGCCGCGACTGCTAAAGTCAGCGAGGCCCACACATACGTTGCCTGAGGAAGTCCGTTTCATGCCATAGACGTCGTAAAGATACAATTTCTTGCTACTAGTAGCATCCACGGTCTCAAAAGTGGCTCCCGGGAAGGCCCCTCTTGACCTGCCTATCATGCCCAAAGAGTGCCATGCAGCACTCAAATCCGCACCAGATCCGCTGAAAACAGATCATGTCCTTGTCGACAATCGAAACGGTGCCTTGGGATAGAGTCAGCGCCCTGAAGAATGAGCTCTGTGTTGGATCACTGACCACATCCTTGGAAAGGTCCCATTGATTGTTCGCGTAAGCACTGGTTTTCACAGCAGGAAACTTGGATATGTGAGAGGCATGCATCGAGACGGTCGCATCACACTATCTATCGCACTTACCAAATCCAATAGAGGGTGTCTTCGTACCGCTTCTTGCCATATCGATCCATGGCAAGTTGCTCGAGACATACAATGAACTCAAAGACGGGCGATCCCCACCTGAGCGATATGATGAAGAAAGAAGGTACATGTGAGTGGCATGCTGCTTGCGGCACACTTCGCCTTCTTCTTACCAGTGACTACAGAAAAATTGGGGTACACATGGGCTGTCCGCGACCAGTTCGGCATAACTGCATCGGAACTCTTCTGTCAGGGGAAGAATGAAATGCTTGTTCAGGTCGTATAATGTCACTTCCTCAGGTCTCAGGAGTTTCCTCCCCATGGCAGGATTGGTGCTTGTCCAGGCTTCCTTCTCACAGCGCACAAGGATCTCAGCAGCCACTTGTTAGTTAATTCAATGTCATCGCTCGCATCTCTGTCCTCGGGATAAAACGTGGCTTCTTAAGCTTTGCCCAGAAGAGGGATAACTTTTAGGAGGGAGAGCTCTGGATCCCGTCAGAGATAGCTCTAACAGCTATGCTGGCCTACAGCTCCAGCACCCACAGCTGGCTTATCTCCAGCCAAAGCAGCAAGAAAGGATCGTCCTTTCCATCATAGTTAAGAAAATAGTACGAAAGATTGAGACCGATCCTGATTAGCTTGTAGCCCCATTGATACCGCAGCAGTTGATACCCATCCTGTTGAGGCCGGGCAGAAGCAGTAGGAGGTAGCAGATAGTACTGTTCCCAGACTGCCACTGCACGATTGAATAACGAAGGCTCCCAGCTCCTGAGGAGAGCTGGCCCAAAGGGCCCAGCAGAGAGCTCTGCTGGCCCTCCTGTCTGACTGACAGGACCAAGTCCTTGGTTTGGTGCCTACTGGAGGTGTTGGAATACTCCTGAGGCACGACAAGGCTCCCTGAACTGCCTGACTACCGCTGTACCTGAGGAAGGGTTTCAGCGAGGTCCAGTCCACTACTTCAGTACTGGAACAGAAACTTATTGGATTAACAGAACGCATAGATTTCAGGCAGTTTTAAGGGAAGGAGAGTCTCCAGGTCGACAAGGAGCCCTCCGCATTACAACAATCAGAGTTACAGTACAGTCTACAGTTGGATTCATTGGATTTGCACAGGAATTTGGAGTTGATATCAAGCCCACTTTTGAAGTCTTATCTCGACAACCTTCCAGCCATTTCCAACAGTTCTAGTCTTCACCACAGTGACAACAACCTTTCAGTTGGCCACCTACCACATACAGGTCCAACACACAGCCCATTGTCGCTCTGAAAGGACCAATATTCCGACAACAACCTCATTGCCGAAGCTACCATACTAGTACTTCCAACGAAGAGAGGAAAAGCACCCAATTCGCTCGCAAGAAGTCACTAGTCCCGGTACCGAACCCCTGGAGTCTCCGAGTGCACACGAGACTTAACGATTCTGCACCTATCTTGGCAATCGGACAAGGCTTTTACGTCCGAAGAAGCAACCACTGTTTATTACAGCGACCACAGCTTTATCTCTTTTGGTACGGGGCTTATCGCTTCCTGTTGCTTCTATTACTTTGAGCAATTCCACGGAACGTTGCAAGGTTCCGCGGAGCACGATTGAATTTATTCGAAATTGAGTGGCTTATCTCTTCAGGACGTCCGTGCAGTTTTCGAGCGTCACGAGTTTCCGCCCTGCACAGTTTTCAGGATTTCACGGAACGTTGAAGAAGTTCTCACGGAACCCGATCCGCCAATCAGATCGCCCGTATAGGATTCGAACATTTCGGTACTTATACGACGTGCACTGAGTCAGTACGTTGCAGTCACACGGAACGATATCGAGTTCTTTTGGGATCCTGAAGCTTCGAAGACTTATACGAACAAGGTTCTCCGTTCCGAAAGCAGGCACACATCACGTAAGCTCGCTGCGCTCACATTTTAAAGGTTTTACGTGGTCGAGTCATTGAAAAATCGTGAATCGAATCGCGATTTTCCTTCCGGAGCGACCACCCTACCGAAGACCCAACTCGGAGAGTCACGAAGACAACGAAGCGACTGTTTCGAGAGAGTATCGATAGCACCACTGGATCCGCCATCCTTTGTTTAGTCAGTGGGTAGATCACCTTGGATTTTGGTAGCTTTTGTGGGGAGATTCATTGGTCCCAGTAAGCTAGCTTCCAGTGTGGCAAAATCACCACCAACCAAGGCAGTTTGCAGCACCACGGCAATTCAGGAAGCAGGTTCCAGACCCTCTACACTGGCTACCTTATTCAACTACACCTAGATTGAATTTTCCAGGCCCATAGCAAGGTTCCTGGAGGTCATCTTTGTGGATTCCAGATTACAGTTGAGCCAGCCTTTATTGCACTGCAACAAGAGCTGAGATCCAGTGTTGCCACAAAGTACAGCCTACACCTCTTCCTGTGACAGACAACAAGAGGCACCATGTCTTTCTACGGTTTCTACAGCAATGTGAGTGACCCTTATGCCCCTGGCTACTCCGAACGTTGGTGGCACCGCGTCTACTCTGGGCCCCAAGTCCAAGGTAGCTACACCTGTGCCCGTCCTCCCACACACCACGATGGAGCTGGCAACAGCAACCTAGCCTACCGCCACCAGCATCGGGACACACAGCCACCAGTGCCACCACCAGTTGAATACAAATCCGTCTTTGACATGCTTGAGAAGACACCGGCACCACCTGTGTCAACAGTGTTCCCACCAGACGCATACACATCACCCCTCGACATCCTTGAGAAGAGGCCAGCACCAATGGCCTATGGTAGGACCAACCACCAGCTGGGTGATGGGGAGATTTCAGAGCTGAGCCCCAGTCGTCACCCAGACCTCATCTATAACCCAGCCATGGAAGACATGCTGATCCGCTTTCAACAGCAACAGGTCACCGTTGCCCAGCAACTCGACCTCATGAGAGCTGACCACGAAACCTTCAAGCGAAAGATGGAAGCTCAGTTCATCGCGTTGAAGGACCAACTGACAACTCAACTGGAAGCCTTGGTCATGGTAGCTAGGCCACCTGTCACAGCACCTACACTTGCTTTGACACCACCAGTTCGTGGGGAGACCAGTGCCACTCCACTGTCAGCCATGGGCAGTGATGATGGCGTCCACAAGCCGACTGGTGGCAGCGCTATTGGTCCCCAACAGCTCCACAGCCCAAAGAAGCAGCAGCGCCACAGGGCTACTTGTCCCAAGCAAGATGCCACTGCCATCCAGCAACGATTGACCAATGCCCTCTTGGCTACCAACCAACTGCCCACCAATGTAGCCACGGCTCCATCTCTCAAGCTAGCTTGTGGGGAGTTGCCTGTCACACGACCCCTGCGTGTCCCAGCTACGAGCCACCAGCTGCCCAGTGCCACACCCTTGAATGCCCTCGCTGGTGCCCATCCATCGTTGGATGATGGGGAGATTATCGAGCTTGCCAGCCCTAGTAGTCATCCAACCTCTGGGGAGATCATGATGGTAAAACCTCCAGCCAACAGGCAACCAGCTTCCATTGCTGGCAACAACAACATTGCAGCTGCAGCTGCACAACCAAATAGACCAAGTGTGGCTCCCACTCAGCCAGCTCTCCAGCCAAGAGCATATGAGCAGACCCACACAGTGGTGACCCCCAAGCAACCTGCTCCAAGGCACAGAGCACACAAGGGTCCCACCACAACCAACATTAGCAGGAGACCTAGTGGTCCATCACCCACAGTGACACCCAAGGTTCCCAGCCTGGTTCCTACAGAACCACCAACCTATGGCACAGCCAATGCCACAAGACTCGTACCCAATGAGGTGCCGTTGTCTTTGGATAGGACCAGCCTTGGTCCAACCATCACCAGTCCATTTGCCAGGAGGCCCACCAAGCAGATACCCTCTGCTCTTGGTGGAATCCATGGGGAGCAACCACAGCAAGCACCGTTTGACCAGGTGCGTAGACTTGTGGGTGTCTCCTCCAGGAGCGTGACGTGCCAGTGATTGGTGTCGCCTTCCCAGAGAGCTGACCGGCCACCAAGTGCGTTGTCGTACCCCAAAGCTGCGTGCCATGGCATTGAGTGCCAGTGGCAATGGACCAATGTCCCGGACGCCCCTGGTGTGTTACGGACGGGCAACTAGACTGTCGTCCCTGTCTGGGTTCAGCCCATCCATCCCATCAGTCAAGGGAACATGATTGCGGGCAAGAACGCCACGTCCACTGGAGCGTAGTCGTTGCACCGCTGACTCTCGGCCTGCTGCGCAAAGCGCACGAATAGTTGTGTCGTACATAATGAGGAAACAAAAACAACAGCGTATGAGTTGCAACCAGCACCGCCGACAACCGTACCAAGTCGTGGCCATGCTGATGAGCAAAAGGCAACTCCTTGTGCCAACCGTTTGGCCCCTCCACATGACCAACATGCACGTCCTCATGTGAGACCCCATCTCACCGTCTGTTTCCACTAGCAGGATGCTGAGTGGCCCATGAATGTTCGTTCATGGGTAGAGTTGTATTGTAGTTAGTTAGTAACCTAATCGTATATCGTGGCATTCCCATGAGAGCGGATCCATACGCACTCGTGGGGAGCGATAACTTTTAGGGAGCGAGAGCTCTGGATCCCGTCAGAGATAGCTCTCAAAGCTATGCTGGCCTACAGTCCAGCACCCACAGCTGGCTTATCTCCAGCCAAAGCAGCAAGAAAGGACGTCCTTTCCATCATAGTTAAGAAAATAGTCGAAAGATTGAGACGTCCTGATTAGCTTGTAGCCCATTGATACCGCAGCAGTTGATACCAATCCTGTTGAGGCCGGGCAGAAGCAGTAGGAGGTAGCAGATAGTACTGTTCCCAGACTGCCACTGCACGATTGAATAACGAAGGCCACCAGCTCCTGAGGAGAGCTGGCCCAAAGGGCCCAGCAGAGAGCTCTGCTGGCCCTCCTGTCTGACTGACAGGACCAAGTCCTTGGTTTGGTGCCTACTGGAGGTGTTGGAAATACTCCTGAGGCACGACAAGCTCCCTGAACTGCCTGACTACCGCTGTACCTGAGGAAGGTTTCAGCGAGGTCCAGTCCACTACTTCAGTACTGGAACAGAAACTTATTGAAGAGCACGGGGTCCTCCTTCTTCATCATAACAATATAGAGCATAGAGCCATGTTGCACCTCGCGGTCCTCGCAAGTGACATCTTCAGGGTACTCTTCGTAGTGCAACGAGTACTCTCGTCCTTTGAAGAAGACAGCCCGCTTTTGGTCGGGGTTGATTGCTGTAGTTGACGACTGGATCTTCCTTACAAGCAATCTGAAAGGCATATCGTTGTCGAAGGCAATTGGGTTACGATTTCCATGCAGCGTTTCAGTATAGACCACGCCCAGGTACATTTTAAGGGTGAGACCATCCCTGCATACAGACCCGAGCCTCTTGGTATCCTCTAAAACCCGTCCATTGCAGTCTTCCAGGTAGATCTTCTTGTTCCATGCCTCTTCTGGTATAAGCTCTCCGATCTTCGCCTTGAGATCTTGGACAGTACAATGATGCTCGATTAGGATTGTCAGGGGAGGGGTGAGAGGGGAATGTATCACAAACGGCTCTCCTCTGCCAAAGAAGGGCTCCAAATCGATAGACTTTGGGAATTCCAGAAAGATACCAGCGTATGAGCCTATTGAGCGGTTTCTCCTGCAACTTGACACCATTTGCGCAGAGACAAAACTCGTCATCGAAACTCATAGAGCCCCTGACACGGGTGATACGTAACTGCATTATTTCATATCGGAGCTTTTGGTCCATGACGACGCTCTGAAGGCGCGACAATTTCATTTCACTAGAGATCTTTTCCTGCCGGACAAATATCTTATTCAAGGAAGGCACGAAAACCTTGATTGTCGACGTTTCTATTGACACATCTTCTGGTTTCGCTTTGGCAAGCGGGTTTGCAGCTTTTGGTGCTGGATTTTTCTGCCTCGACACAAGAGGTCGCTGACCAAGAACCCCCCTTCCCCGTACTGGAGGCTTAGCCAGTCGTTTCTGCACTCTCTTTATGTACCTATTCAAGACATGTGGAGGTACATTGTCTGCGTTGCATTTGATGCAGATACCTTTGTAGACATTCTCATTTATCACCAGAAGGGATCCCCACCGGGTCTTTGTATGACATTGAACGCAGAGACCTTCGATCTTGGCAACTGTATTCCCCTTTTCCCTCATTTCTTGTGCATTGACCTTGGCATCCTCTTCTGCCTGCAGCCGTTGCATTTGATCCACACGTATTTTAACATTGTTCATGGGCACCATGACTATATAACGGGAAGGAAAGGAATTGTGAGAAATCAGAGCACGAACCTCTCAAAGAGATCATTGTGTTGCCATACTGTACCTACCTAATGACTTTAAGCAAAACCAGAGAGCCAACATGGCAACCACTGGTGTAATTGGCTCCATTGTGCGATAGTGGTAACATCAATGAGGACAAAAGACGAAAAGCTGTGTTGTTTTTCACTGCCAAAATGAAACCAGAAACCTTCCCCTTGAACAGTTGTGCCACTTTCTCTCTTTGTCAACGTTCTTCCATCTTTGGCAACCTACAAGCCGAGTCTGAACAGTAACTATAGTACATGTATTCCCAATGAAAGAGCATCGCAACGCACACAGTGGATGAAAGATTGAAAAAGAAATTCTGAATTGATACGTCAACGGAGGCCAAAAGGGGGGGGGGGCAGAGCGCGTGGTGGCATTGGTGGGGATAGTACGGGGAAAACAGGGAGGACGGCTGGGCAACGCAAAAGGGGGCTTGGGGGGGGGGATTGTGATGAGCAAGAAAAAGGAATCATAGGGGAAGGCAACAGGGAGCAAAAGGGACAACATTTGCGGAAGAGGGCAAGTGCACCATCGGCGTCCCAGAGGAATGGCAGTAGCTCATTGTGCCAGAGGGGGTGCGACACGAAGCTGAGTCACTTGCCAAACGTCTCGCCTCTCTACTTGCAGCAAACTGGTGGCCCACCCTTACTCGATGTTGCATGGCTTATGTTAATGCTAGACACAGCCTTGGTATTCTTCGGGCCCACCACCTTTGCATGCGTGGCTCTCGTGCTCCCTCTGGCACAATGAGCTACCGCCGTTCCCTCTAGGGCGCCATGTGCACTTGCCCTCTTCCCTAATTTGCCCTTTTGCTCCCTTCCGCCTTCCCCTAAAGATTCCTTCTTTCACCCCTCACCCCCCATTGCCCCCTGCTCCCCTCCTCCTGCCCTCTCGCAATGGCTCCCCACCACCGGTGCCCTACTCTGAAGAGCTTAACCCTCTATGTAGCTATTTATTTTGTTAGTTATGTCATGCATTTGGGCACTGCTCACAAGTACAGCCGCATAGACTAGTTCCATAGCAGACGACAGGTTGGTCGTTGGAACTGCATAGACATTCCCACCAAAACGTTTCATTTCATTTGGGGGCAGTGCTACACCACATAATCCCTCAGGCATGCTCCCAGATAAGGATGTGTTCATCAAGACCAAGCTGTCAAGTTGTCCAACAAAAGCAGTTCCGTGGGAAGAGTGCCAGATATTTGCGTGTTTTGCAGTTCAATTCTAAGGCTAGACACAAACCAACTTCTGTGGGAAGAGAACCGGAGAATAGGTTGTCACTTATTTCCAAAAGCAACAACTTGCTGAGTTGGTGGAGGACGCCTTTTTCTAGGATCCTTCCTTCCAACTTGTTGGATTGGATTCGTAAGACCCTTAATTCTGATGTTGAAACAAACAAAAATGCAAGTTTGAGCATAGGTGACCTCCAAAGCAAAGAACAGGTATAGCACTCACGTGACACCTTCGATAACTCTTCTGGTAAAGTGCCTGAGATTGAGTTCCTCTTCAACGTCAAGTACGCCTGCAAAATGTGGTATGTCTCCCTTAGTACAGAAAGGGATGATTTCCACACAAGGTTCGTTCACGAGAACTTACTAGCTTTGTCAACGATCCCATCTCACTTGGAATTGTGCCATTGAATTGAAAGTCAGTGAAAATAAGATTTTCCAGGTTGGTCAGCTTCCCAATTTCAGCTGTTCAAAGTAAATTTCAAAACATGTTTAGCAACCAGATGGCGTACACAAAGAATACAACTATTGGCACTTACATGGGATTGATGTCAAATCCCCAGTTTTCCGATTGCTTAGATTTAGTATCTTCAAATTGTGCAGGTTTCCAACAACCCCAGGGAGGAAAGCTGTTTTTTCCAATAGAGGGCACTCTAAGAAACTCAAGGACTGCAGGTTCGACAGTCGAAGAATCTCAGTGGGAATTGACCCTGTGTAGGCAGAAAATATCAAGTGAGTCAAAGTCAACCGGTGCAACTTCTGCAATGATTTGTAAGCTCCCTTGCATACCAGAAAAGTTTGCCATCTGAAATCCCAGAGTTGTCAGGTTGCTTAGGTTCCCAAGCTCAGTAGGTAAAGTCCCATCAAGCTCGCTGTGTGAGATCATTAGATTCTCCAAGCTTTGTAGCTGACCTAGTTCTGTTGGGAGTGCTCCAGACAAGTGAGTTGCGCTAAACCACAAGACTGTCAGCCTTGTCATCATCCCAGCCTCTGTTGGTATACTTCCTTTGAGTTGGCGGTTCCAAGATAATAAAAGTACTTCCAAGCTCTCATGAAGCAGAGATATTTCTGGTGGTATTGTTCCGTCCAAGTTGTTGGCAGCAACAAATTGCAATGAAAGGAGTTTCCCGCTGTCATTACAATCCACCTCTCCAGCTTGTGGATCCGACCATCGTAGCTGTTCCCAGTTGCACTCATTGGTGTCCCAATCCAGCCAGCCTTGATTTGATACCCAGTAGTCCCCCCGTGTTGAATAATAAAATGTGGCCAGTGCAAACCTTTGCATCAGTCTCCATACTGGGAGATGTTGTGTATTGTTGGATTTGTTGATATTGTTGCTTAGCCATTGATATGCCTTGGTCTGTGGAGACCTAGGATTTTCCATTGCCCTGAGGGTGTATTCAGGTAGATTTAGTCTTTCCCATAGCAATATTGGTGCTTGTGTGATTGAAGCTGTCGTCGCTGCATTGTCTTGTATTGGAATCCCTTCATTTTGCTGCTTTTGTGGGTTGAGTTTCATTGCTTGGTTTTCGAGCAAGAAGAAATGCCCCAAGAATAGTTACAACAAGCACTAGGGCAACCGTTGTTTCCAGGGAGAGGAACAAGCATAGTTTCTTCTTCCATAATCTTTTTGCCCTGGTTGTTATTGGCTCTGCTGTTGGAATCATCCCATTTTCTGTGTCGTCAACTGGGTCAGCATGAATAAGACCATCTTCACGGTCTCTGTCATCTTGAGATGAAGGCACCAATTCCAATCCCAGCCATTCCATCTCTGGTGTCCTTCCAGTCAATGGCCTACTTCTTGGGCAATTAAATATTGGTCTAATCCCAGCCACCGCATAGGCCCCAGGTGCCCCTTCTGAGACCCTTATAGCTCGATGCATTGCCGGTGGGGGTAATGTTGGTAGTGGCTGGATGCTACTGATGCCATCATCTTTAAGGCCCTGGGAGGCGACCCCAGCTCCTTCCTCTCTGACCCTTCTTGCGTGATGAAGTTCCGGTGGAGTTGATGTTGGGAATGGCTGGATGCTACTAATGACATCATCTCTAACGGCCTGGGGTGAGGAGATCTTTGAATCGAGACTGTTGGTGGTTGGATGCTGATTTCCAATCACCACCTCCATCTCTGCCTTTTCTATTGTCCCTTTTGTCTCGCCAATATTTCCAAAGAAACGCTTCACACTTGTTGCTGTTTTGTCGTTGTTGAACATCTTGACTCTTTTGTGTCTTCTTTCTGGTTGAGGGCGCCTCGTTGACTATTTTTTCGTTGGCTGGTTGGCTGCACAACCTAATCCAACACACTTGCTCTCTAGCTAGTAGCTGCTATAGAGCTATCGCACCTGCTATTGTTGTAATACGTCCTTTGGACGCAGCGACGTAGCGCAGGTTGAGGTGTTGACTGTTGCATGTGCCATGCAGCAGAAAATGTGGCCCTCGGTATGGTTCACTGTAGATGGCTTCCGTGCCAGTGTCATACAGCTGTACAGTCATACTCCTAGAAACCCCCTCCGGTGAGCCTCATCTGCTCACATTTCGAACTCTGCTTCCCACGCAGACTGACGCTGAAGCCCTCAACCGATGTAGGGCCATTGCGAGTTTTGGTTGTCTCTTTTCTCTTTGTCGCTTTGTCCAGACGGCGACGTGCGACGCCTGCGAGGAGGGACGATGCGACTACAATATGCGCGAAAAAAGAAGAAAGCATCGAAAGCCAAGTCCAATTGGGGGTCTCCTCTGCTCTCGAGGGTTACAAATCACCTCGGGCGTGTTGATGTTCTGTTGCGTTATATTAGTTAGATACTTTTTGCAAATATCATGAGAGCGGTCAATAGCGTGGGATGCGTCTGCTGAGATTGTATTAATCTAGACGACGAGACGCATACCTTACGAGACATCAGCGCAGAAGAATGTCACCATGCTAAGGAATCCCAGGTACGGCCCCACCAAAGCCAGGAGGTTCATCTAATAGAAGCCATCTTCGCGGAAATTGTCGTAAAATCCATATCCACTAGCATCGTGCGTGATGCTGGCTTGACCACCAGATGAGCTCCAGTCAGCGGCATCTGCAAGCAGGTCGCTTGTGGGGCGAGCTGTCGAAGTGTGGTAGCCAGGTTGTGTGTAGCCTTCGTCTGGGCCGTAGTACATGTTTGCCTGGCTTCTCGCACCACTCCAGTCAGCAGCGTTGGAAAAGAACTCACCGCCCCTCATCCTTCTTGCCATTTGGTTCGTTGGGCTAATCTCATAGGGACTGTTTTCATCATAGCTGATAGCCTCTTCCGGCAGCATTGAACCAGCATATCCACCATTCCGAGTTTCCGATGAATAGTCATAACTATCCCTCAAGAAATTTGGTACGTCCGGTGACATGTTGAAACCTGTGGGCTCGATCAATTGCTGCGCCACATAGCCGGCACTGGATGAGAAGCGTGTCGCTGGCTCAACTTGATTATTCAGTTGGGCCATTTGTCCGCCACCGCCTCCACCAAAGCCTGTTGATTGCATACCTCTTGGTGACGAAGACCTGCTTCTTCCAAAATCACCACCTGCAGGACGCTGCATTCCTGCATTTGCCCCGCCGGAACCAATTCCACCGGCCTGGTTCATTCCTCCGGGACCACCAAATTGGCCAGACATTGCACCAGGTGCCCCCCCTCCACCAATGCCGCCGGGCTGGTTCATTCCACCAGGAGAGCTGCCTCCAAAGCCACCAGGCCCTCCTGCACCACCACCAATGCCACCTGGCTTGCTCATTCCACCAGGACCTTGACCAGGCATTCCACCAGGAGAGCTGCCTCCAAAGCCACCAGGGCCTCCTGCACCACCACCAATACCACCTGGTTTATTCATTCCACCAGGGCCTTGGCCAGCCATTCCACCGGACCCCTCCAGCCACCTGGTCCTCCGGTAGCACCTCCAATGCCACCTGGCTTGCTCATTCCACCGGGGCCACCTCCGATGCCACCTGGTCCTCCGGTAGCACCTCCAATGCCACCTGGCTTGCTCATTCCACCGGCTTGCCAAGCGATCCTCCAGGGAGCCCCTCCAAGCCACCTGGTCCTCCGGTAGCACCTCCAATGCCACCTGGTGCTCATTCCACCAGGGCGTTGGCCAGCCATTCCACCAGGAGAGCCTCCTCCAAAGCCACCAGGGCCACCTGTGGCACCACCTCCAATGCCACCTGGCTTGCTCATTCCACCAGGAGCACCTCCCATGCCACCTGGTCCTCCAGATGCACCTCCGATTCCACCGGGCTTGCTCATTCCACCCGGACCTTGACCAGGCATTCCACCAGGAGAGCTGCCTCCAAAGCCACCAGGCCCTCCTGCACCACCACCGATGCCACCTGGCCCACCAGGACCTTGGCCAGCCATTCCACCAGGAGAGCCTCCTCCAAAGCCACCAGGCCCTCCGGCAGCACCTCCAATGCCACCTGGTTTGCTCATTCCACCAGGCCTTGCCAGCATTCCACCAGGAGAGCCCCTCCAAAGCCACCAGGGCCACCGTGGCACCACCACCAATACCACCTGGCTTGCTCATTCCACCAGGAGCACCTCCAAAGCCACCGGGCCCTCCGGCAGCACCTCCAATACCACCGGGCTTGCTCATTCCACCCGGACCTTGACCAGGCATTCCTCCAGGAGAGCCACCTCCAAAGCCACCAGGGCCTCCGGCAGCACCTCCAATGCCACCTGGTTTGCTCATTCCACCCGGACCTTGACCAGGCATTCCACCGGGAGAGCTGCCTCCAATGCCACCAGGCCCTCCTGGAGCACCTCCGAAACCGCCCGGGCTTGAGCCTGTAGAGCCACCAAATGGACTAGCTCCTCCACCTGGCTTGTTCATTCCACCAGGCCCTCCTCCCAAACCTCCTGGGCTGGAGCCAGAAGAGCCACCAAATGGACTGCCTCCTGGAGCACCTCCCAAACCACCTGGACTCGATCCTGATGAACCACCAAATGGACTACCTCCACCTGGTTTGTTCATTCCACCAGGGCCTCCTGAAGCGCCAGGAAATCCCCCAGGGCTTGATCCAGAGGAACCCCCAAAAGGACTACTTGCTCCACCAGGTTTGTTCATTCCACCAGGCCCTCCTGGAGCACCTCCCAAGCCTCCTGGGCTTGAGCCCGTAGAGCCACCAAATGGACTGCCTCCTGGAGCACCTCCCAAACCACCTGGACTTGATCCAGAGGAACCCCCAAAAGGGCTACCTCCTCCACCAGGCTTGTTCATTCCACCAGGCCCTCCTGCTGCCCCCGGAAATCCGCTGCTCGGCCCTCCTGATGACCCAGGAAAAGAACTTGTGCCTCCATTATTTTGTGTGCCTGGAAATCCGCCTGGACTGCCTCCAGGGGGTTTGAAACCTGTGCTCGGGCCAGTACTAGCTGCTCCTGGAGGGCCGCCACCAAATCCTGGAAAAGACGACGCCAGTGATGTTTCATGGCGAGGAGTCGAAGACCCTCGGATCAACGAGGCGGGGACATTTTCGGAAGAAAACCCTTGTACGTCGGCAGCTACGAAAAGCAGCGCCAAGGCGAGTTGCCTCTCGTTCATATTAAACCTCATGCTTTGGTTTTATTTTTGTTATTTTTTGTGGAGTGATGGGTGGAGTCTTTTTTGTGGTCCTCGCTGGAAGACAAGAGAGGAAAGACGGTGACTTGCCAACTGTTGGTGTTGAAGTCGTCAGCTGATTTTCTCATTGCCTCGAATGTCAGCTGAATTTCGCATTGCCTCCATGCGAATGTCAGCTGAATTTCGTACTCGCACGACGTGTTCTTCATTCGCAACGCACGAAACCACGTCAGCCGATGAGTGTGACATCAGTTCGTGACTACAAGTCCAGCCACGTTTTACCTTCCGAGTTCCCAAACCAAGATTAGTCGCACAGTTGCCTAATATCGTCATTCGTGGATACTACGACGCTAATGTCGCCGAGCCCACCGGTACCGCCGGCATGCCACGCATAAACTGATGTAAAGGAGAGACTCGACTCAATTCAGGCTACTAGCTAGTACGATACTAGAGCAAGCTACACCAAACACATCATTATATTCGATATATATCTCATGAAGGGCTGCCAGATTTTCTGACGATTTTGTTTGTTGCCTTCTGACATGCCCGGCTTGAAGTCAGTGCACCGCTTGCTTTGTACGGTTGTTTCTCAACAGAGTCATCGCTCATTTCGCTCTTTGCTCATCACACAAGAGAGTCAGAGCAGGCATGGATGCAGTGGATGGTTTCTATGGATCAGCTCAGCCAGGTCATTCCACGTTTTTCATTCGGCTGCTTCTCAGAAATAAATGTATCATCGCTGGATTGTTGAAATGCAAATTGCTGCTGGCTGTTTGGCTGGTGGATAGTATCAACATCATCTAGCTAACTGGCCAAACGAGAGTCAAGTTGCTGCAATTAGCGACCGTTGCGGAGGTCTTCTTCCCTGAACAACTCTTGCTTGGCACTCCAAGCAAGCCCTTCGAAACCTAGCTACCAGTATGGTACCCTTAGAGCTCCCACTAGCTAGTCTAGTCTAGTCCCGAGTTTATTTTTTCTTCGCCTATACTTTGCCTTTGGCAACCTGGCCCTCGCTGGCTTCCCCACTCAGCTAGCTAGCTAGATACAGTACTCCTACGTTCTCTAAAACCCCGTTCCCTGTAATCTGGGCACTGCTGGTTAGATTTGCAGCTGGATAGTAGCCACCGAGCCACCAGCCACAGTACGGGCTGTCGGCACCAACCCAGTGCATGTTATGGGGGGTTTAGAGTGGGGAAATTATCTACGGAAGCTGTGTAAAACCTTTGATTTTACCGAACTGGCACAACATACATGACTGAATGACCCTCCTTCCGCCTTCCGCTCAAAGTGCTCTGGAAGTAGTTTCCTTCTTTCATTTTCCATCACTCGAAGATGGCAACGCCCAACAAAGATGATGAAGACAACGGCGGCGATGAACTAGACCCTTTGAAGCTTGTGGAGCTGAAGAGGCGAGCGGAGACAGAGATAGATTCCAAGCAAAAATTGATGGACGAGGGGAAGCACGTCGAGTCCGAGTCGATGCCAACCAAAGACTCCAAGACTGCTCATTGTCGTGTATCCAATACCGAGAGCAGAGGTGCGAACAAACTTGGAGCCGTGGATAAGAATTGTTTTCTGGATCCTGAGGCCAAGGGGGTACCGGTAGTTGAGCCACAACCTGGAAACATTGCCATCTCAAAGGCCAAGCCAGCAGCGAAAATCACTCTTTCCTTTCTTGGCACGAAAGGCAGCGTTGCTATGGAGGATGATAAGGAGGATGAACTGGATCCCTTAAAGATTGTGGAGTTGAAGAGGAGAGCCGAGTTGGAGCTGCAGGTTGAGCACAATGAGTCGTCCCCAAAGAAAAAGGACACCAAGCATTTGACACTGTCCAAGCATCATTCGGATACAACAGGTACCAAGGCTGAACCAAATAATGATGAACTGGACCCATTGAAGATTGTAGAGCTCCGTAGACAGGCGCAGACGCAGATGGCAACCAGAGAAGACATTTCCATGCAACCAGGAGAATACAATAGTCAGGAGGCAAGACGAAATGGCTGTTCCAATGTAACAATGGAAGTCATGGCTGAGCAGCCATCCGATGAGCCAAACGGTGAGAATGATCCAATTATTCTCAAACTAGTGCAATCCAGAGCCAGGCAGGCGCTCGAAGAAGAACAAGCAGCGCTACCAAGAAGAACACCCGACAGAACGACAACCAGCAACAAAGAATCTGAGGACAGTTTGAGTGCACCCAGATCCGGCAAGCAGCGGCAAAAACCCACAATTGCGAGCAGCCAACCAGGTGCTTTTGCAGGTGCTCCTGGCGCTGGATTGGAGCGGCTTGCATCGCTGCGCTACTCGCAATTGGAACGGCTCAATGGAGATCAAATGCAGCAGATGCTTGCCTTGGAGGAATCAAAGCGGTCCATGATGATGACTTCCAAAGCCTCCATCCTGCAGGATGCCCAAATCACTCAGTCTGGCAGGAATTTGGATAAGAAGGCCGAATCAATAACCAGAGTGGACGAAACCACAGGCCTGTCTGTGGCCAGAGCAGTGAATGAACCTAGCCAGCGCAATCTACCCCAAGCCAGTTTTATGGGCGATTTGGAGCAAGTCAACGAAGAAACAGACGCCAAAGAAAGCGAACAGCAACAACGGGCACTGCAATCGACGCTGTTATGGGTGTGTGGAGGTCTGATTCTATTGGCAATTGTCCTCGTGGTAGTCTTTGTCGTTGCGTTGAAGCCGAATGATGACACTCCAATCCAGAGCACCAGCAGGGGCGTCAATATCATGGGCGACCAATTGATGGTTCCATCTGCAGCACCCAGTGTCTCGCTGGGCTCCTATGTGGCTGCCCTCTTGCCAGATCATTCCTTGGATGCAATGGGAGACAAAGGCTCGCCCCAATTCGAGGCATTTCAGTGGCTTCTGGATGATGCGAATCTAACAGTTGCGGGGGATGGAGAATCAGTGCTGTCGTACCCAGATTGGCGGATTCAACAACGCTTTGCCCTGGCCACGTTCTACTTTGCAACCAAAGGGGACCGTTGGATGAAAAATGACAACTGGCTGTCGCCTCTCCACGAGTGTCAATGGTTCGCAAGACCGGAACGTCCGTGTGTCTGCAAAACAGGTGGAGACATTGAGGATTACATTGCCAACTCCACCGGGCCTTGTGGAGATGTCACAAATACGGAACGCTACACAGCTCTGCGGCTCAGTGGCAATGGTCTGAAAGGAACCTTACCCAAGGAAGTGTACTTATTGACTTCACTTTCCACGCTTCAATTATTGCACAACAAGCTGGAGGGCACACTTGCTTCAGACATTGGATGGCTGAAAAATTTGTCAAGAGTTGACTTGAGCAAAAACACACTGTCGGGGAGTATTCCATCAGAGGTGTTCTCTCCAATCATGCGTGACTTTTCCGTATTTGGAAACAACATAGCTGGCACCATCCCAACAGAAATAGGGCTTGCTACCAACTTGAAGAATTTCTTCGTGGAGGAAGCAATTCTGACTGGAAACCTCCCATCCGAAATTGGAATGGCAAAAAGCTTGGTTACTGTCTATTTAGATGCAAACCAAATTTCTGGCAGCCTCCCAACCGAATTGGGTCTACTGGATCAACTGGAAGTTGTCTATTTGCAGAAGAACATGTTAACATCGGCAATCCCCTCGGAAATAGGCCGCCTTCCAAACTTGTTGTCCCTCCGTCTCAGAAGCAACATGCTATCATCATCCATTCCATCAGAGCTTGCTATGTGTACACAATTAACGCACATCTTATTGCAGAAGAACATGCTGACATCGGCGATCCCCTCCGAACTAGGTCAGCTTCCAAACTTGTATGACCTCCATCTCAGCTCCAACATGCTATCATCATCCATCCCATCAGAGCTTGCTATGGCTACACAGTTATGGCATGTCTACGTTAATGCCAATCAATTGACTTCCACACTCCCAACCGAGCTTGGCCAACTCAACCCTGATCCTCAATATGTTGGCTTTAAGATGCTGTTTGGATCCAATCAAATCACTGGTCCCATCCCCTCCGGTACGTGCTGCAATCCATCACTGGTTCCCAATGTGGCACTGCAGTTTCCATTGCTCACTACTGGTTTACTCACAGCTTTCTTTCTTTTGTAAAGAGTTTGGCAATCTTTCCAACTTGATTGGGCTGCAGTTGTCACAGAATTTTCTGACATCCACAATCCCTACTGAGCTTGGCGGATTGTCCAAGCTGTCCTATCTGTACCTGCAACATACAGATGTTACAGGCCCCATTCCATCCGAGTTTGGTCAACTCTCTGCTCTGGAGAGTCTGGGTCTTCATAACAACAGTTTGTCAGGGTTGATACCTGATACTTTGGAACAGTTGGCAACCAACATGACAGATGTAGATTTCAGTAACAACCCTGGTCTTGAGGGTTTGATTCCAGAAGGATTGTGCTTTTTGAACACAAGTTTGGTGTTTGACTGCTCTGCTAGTCTTTGTGGCTGTTGGTGGTGCGACTGCGATGAAGCAATCGGAATGAATTACACTACCTGAGAAAGCGTTTTCTAAACTAATCTGTCAGGCCTGCTGGCCCCTTTTTAATAAAAGCATTGCCTTCTCCAGGTAGGTAGAACCAATCGCTTTCCTGCCGACAGAGGACTAGCATAGTGGTACTACTTTTCTATTGTGGAGCTTCTGACGGACTCTCTTGCCCGTATCCTCTCCATGGCAGTCTGGGATCATTCATTCATTCGACTAGCTAGCTAGCCAACCAGCTTGTACGGCTGGGAAGTGTGACCGAAAGCCTCGTCTGATCACCTTCAGTGAACTGGGATCTGCCAGCTGCCAGCACACGACTTGCCGTGCCCCAACAGTAATAAGACCTTAGCAACGTTTGTGGTTTATGGAAGGCATGATACTGGGACCTAGTGAAGGTCACTGTTTAGCTATCTTTGTTAAGTGAATAAAGTGAAGTCCTATGACCAATGACCCAAGTTAGAAACCACAATACCACAATGGTTAGAAAAAACTTGAAACAAAACAGAAACAACGAAAGAAGTGATTGATCCTTGCAAAAAGACGCGAGACTTTACCACTTTGGCGGATGCGGCAGCCGCGGAAGCCACCGTGTGTGTGCAAGATGGGACCTACATCAAAACAGTGGTGCAAGCACGGTTTCCACAGGCGAATTACACACTGTGTCCCTCACTGGAAGATTGTTTTCAAGCGCTCCAGAACGAGGAATGCGTGCTCTACGTCGACGACGAACTGGCATTGCGATACCGTGCTGCTGTGGATCCATCTCTAGAGCTCACTCGAGAACAGTTCAATTCGCAATATCTCATGTGGCCCATGCGAGAAGACCTGCCGCCACTTGTGGCCAAGTTGATCAAGAAATGGATGTATCGAGCCATTGGGAATGCCACCATGGACCAACTCTACAAGACGTACTTTGAAAAACACACGTGTCAACATGGGACTGCCGGGGAACACTGTGAACTCCCCTGTGACCCGGACCATGGCACGGCCGATGGCACGGGGGCGTGCATTTGTCATTCGACCAAATGGACCGGGTTCGACTGCTCCATGGAAGTACCCGAAGAGCTCAACCTCATTCCAGTGTCACTCGTGAGGACGGGCTATGCCTTGGCGGGGATCAACGTTTGTCTCGTCCTATTCTGCGCCGTCTGGTTGTGCTGGCAACGACGGAGAGCACAAGTGCAAATGGCACAGCCCTCGTTCCTCAGTCTAATCCTCCTTGGATGCCTGATATCTACTTCTACAATCATTGACATGGCACAACAAGATGCCGGAGATGGACCTGTCTATGCTTGCATGGCAATTCCATGGGGATACAGTGTGGGCTTTTGCATTACCTTTGGAGCGCTCTTTGCCCGCATCCGCAAAGTCTACATTCTCGTCAAGTCAGCCGCCCAAATGAAGCGAGTCCGAGTGTCCGTCATGGAAACGTTGCAGATTGTCGGAGGAGTTCTTCTCATTGATGTGTCCATTCTGGTCGTGTGGAGTGCCGTGGATCCTCTCCGCTGGAACCGGCAAGTCATTAGTGAAGATCAATTTGGTAATGCACTCGAGAGCGTGGGGAGTTGTGGTTCTGAGCATTGGGCCATCTTTGCGGGGATCATTGCCGTGTTTCATCTGCTCCTCATGTCGGGGGCATGCTACATGTGCTTTGTCTCGCGCAAGATTCCCGATCGAGTGTCCAATGGCAAGTTTGTGGGCATCGCAATGGTTTCCAACTTTCAGATTCTGCTCTGTGCCGCTCCCATCCTGCTGGTTCTGGGGTCCGACCCAGTCGCCAACTTTGTGGTACGAAGTGTGGCCATCTTTATGAATGATTTTGTGGTCGTCTGTTTGGTGTTTGGTCCACTCGTGTTCAAGGTCAAGCGATTTGACCATCAAACCCGACGTGCCGTGATCAGAATAAACAGTCAAGAACCCATCAACGATGGAATCAAACACTATGCCCAACGAGTGGGACGGAAGAGGACAGAGAAAGAGCGTCGAAGGCTCATGGAGCAACGAGCCCAAAGAGTAACGGAAATTACGGTGGTGGAAACATCAGCGGAGCCCATGGACCAGTCTTCGGAACAGGCAAGAAGTGAAGATGGGCTAGGAGGTCATGCAATGCCTGAACCCCTGCCTTCGGAGGCACAAGACCTTTCTATGAAGGTCGAAGAAGATGCTCTAGCAGAGGAGGAAGAGGAGATTGTGTTCGAGAGTTTCTCTGCAGAAAGTATGGATGAAGGGCTCCTAGACAGTGATGACGAGGAAGGGAATGGAAGCCTCTCTTCTTGTCTACAGGAAGATTCTGACCCAAAGGAGCCTCTTGCAGACTCTGGAGACTGCATGTACTCGTGCACGGCTGAGTTAGATGCCTCTTTTGAAAGCGAATCTTGCAGTGTTCCATCCAACGATATCGAGGATGGGAGGAACCATGACGACGAAGTCCAAGATTCCCGGGAAACTCCAACAGCAAGGGAACCGTAGGCATTTCGGAAATGGGGGCAGCCACCGCATCAAAACGGGGCGACCAAGCAAGGGCAGGGGACTCGCTGGTGCATCCTCCGCGATGCGCAAGTAGGAACATACTTCATATGACAAGATGCAATAGGTAGTTTCAAATTTTGGCGTATTTTTAAAGAGAAGAGTTAATGAAGTGTAGACTGAAACATGGGCGGTCAGTGGCTTGAGGAAGGGTTTCCCACTAGCTAGTTGGCGCAAAAGTCTGGCCAGGAGACAAAGACGCGTCCAAAAGCAGGAAGTTTCATGGAGCGAAACAGCCACCATGAATGACATGAACGGGCAATGCAGTTTGTGATCCTGGTGTTCTACCCAAGCAACGATCTAACATCCTGTCCTCAAATTCCCTCTCCCCCCCGTAGAAAAGCCTAAACATGACGATCAAGGCTTTCATAAACAGCCAGGTAGAAGTAGAAGGGCGGGAAAGGCATCCCGGTACACTGGTACTGTTTCGGGTAGCAGCATCGAGTACCAAGCAGGAGCAGCAAGCCCGACTGCCCTGGGACCTCTCCGTGCTCTGTCGTGGCCCCTGTGGCATCTCCCCTGTAACTTCTGGATCTCGCACGCCTCCCGGACACAAGCTGATATCCCACCCCGTGCCTTTCGTTGAAATTACTTCCATTCAGGACTCTGCTTTC